CCCTCCCTCTCTTCTTCCCTTCTCATTCCCCTCCCCTCCCCTCCCCCCGACACTAAGCCAGCACCCGCCAACAAACTACTACTAAACCTCTCCCATCTTACCTCCTCCAACTTACTACTACTAACTTAACTACTACCACTACCACTCTAAACCTATCTCTTCTCTCTCTCTCTCCTGACTAACTCCTTCCAACCTATCTCACTTCTTCGTCTCCTCTCCAATCCGGTCAGTCAGCAATCAATTCTTTTGATTTCTCCCTAATTTCCCCTCCGTCTTCACCCAAACCTACCATCCCCCTGCCCGCTTAGTGATCCAACTTGGCCTCTCCCCCTCCCCCAATCCTCAAAATTCGAAACAGCAAAACATCCCAAACGAGCAGTACAACAAGGAATAAAAAAAATCTCCCTGCTCTATAATCCTTCACTCACGCCTATCTCACTCTACAACACCACTGACTTTACAGACAACAGAGCAACTACAATCCCTCCCTATCTTCCGTCCAGGTGAGTTGGTTCTCTATCTGTTCCACTGCCGTCATCTTTTCCACTCCTACCACCAAGACACTCCCCCCTCCCCTCAAATTTCCCCTCCTCATCCCGGATGACCCAGCCGCTCCGTCGTTTCCGGCGGCTTTCACGATCGCAAATGATTTAGACTTGTGGTGTCGAGAGGTTCTGGAACACTGGAAATGAGACCCTAGTCAGCTCGCGCGTGAGATGGTTGCAACTACATGCAGTCGTTGCTCTCCCCTCTCCGTCTCAACTACACTGGAACGCGACTCAGCACTTTTGTCACCGGCTAGCCGAACGGAGGCCTAGCAGGGCAAATTTACCCTCCTTCAACCGTCAACAAGCCTCTGGGATCGTCGCCGTGCGTCTTGTTGATGGGTGGATGGATGTGGGTGCATGGTAGGGGGCCGAAGAGTACAGCGGGATCTGAGGAATGATCATGCTTGCTTGTTCCCACCTCGATCTTCTTCACTTCCGACCATTTGACGTGCTTGCTGCGACGGGTGGGCAATCTATTCCCTATCGCGGGGAACGCTTCCAGGAAGCCGGGAAAAGGAGGGGAGAGGAGAGCGGTTATCGCTTTTCGTGTTCCTTGCACCACTTGACTTCACAGCCTCACTTTTGCCCTGTGACTGCCTGCCCCTCGCTTCGGAGACACTATCTATCATCTTCCGTTGATCGCTGTGGCGCATCCCCCCATCATCCTCATTTCCCCCATCAACACCATTTTTGTCATCACGTCGACTTTCTGCCAGGGGACTTTCTGTTATTTGACTAACATTTTCATCTTCTGTCTCACACAGATAATTCACTTTCACAATGGCCCGCGAAGATGCTGTTTACCTGGCCAAGCTCGCCGAGCAGGCTGAGCGTTACGAAGGTACGTCATCCCTGAACGCTCCACCCCGCGCTCGCACGACCACCCTCATGCTAACCTTTTTCTCGCAGAGATGGTCGAGAACATGAAGGAGGTTGCCTCCACTGATGTAGAGCTCACCGTCGAGGAGCGCAATCTCCTCTCCGTCGCTTACAAGAACGTCATCGGTGCCCGTCGTGCGTCCTGGAGAATCGTCACCTCCATCGAGCAAAAAGAGGAGTCCAAGGGCAACGGTCCCCAGGTTACCCTTATCAAGGAGTACCGCCAGAAGATCGAGACCGAGCTCGCCAAGATCTGCGATGACATCCTCGAGGTTCTCGACAAGCACTTGATCCCCTCTGCCCAGAGCGGCGAGTCCAAGGTCTTCTACCACAAGATGTGCGTCTGTCTCTTACGTACCGTTTGGTGGCTGCGATACTGACCTGGGCGGGTGCTCTTGACAGGAAGGGTGACTACCACCGTTACCTTGCTGAGTTCGCCATTGGCGACCGCCGCAAGGGCGCTGCTGATGCCTCCCTCGAGGCCTACAAGAGCGCTACTGAGGTCGCTCAAACCGACTTGGCCCCTACTCACCCCATCCGTCTCGGTCTCGCCCTGAACTTCTCCGTCTTCTACTACGAGATCCTCAACTCCCCCGACCAGGCCTGCCACCTGGCCAAGCTTGCTTTCGATGATGCTATTGCCGGTATGTTTATCGTATGACCTCGTGCGAGCAGGGCAAAGACTGACAAATGCCCGCAGAGCTTGACACTTTGAGCGAGGAGAGCTACAAGGACTCCACCCTGATCATGCAGCTTCTCAGAGACAACCTGGTACGTATACAGCTACACCCGGTTTGCCACGCCCGTACTAATGCACACCTAGACGCTCTGGACCTCGTCGGAGGCCGAGACGGCTGCTCCTGAGTCCAGCGCTCCTGCCGATAAGGAGGAGGCTGCTCCTGCTGAGGAGAAGCCCGCTGCCGAGTAAATTAGTAGAGATAACGGTGGACTCGCGTCCGGGTTTGCAAATGAAGTCGGACAAAATACGGCGTGGGTTACGGGTGCGCAAGGGCTGCGGGGGCCAGGTTAGAAAAGGGGATCGGCGCTACACGCTTGTCATGATGCCCGATGACTTTGCATGGTCTTGAACTATCACTGGCAAAGGGCAGAAGTCAAAAGTTGGTCTGCGCTGTGGGGGTGCTCTTGTGCCTTTGCTTTCCGCTTTCCGTTCATGCGATCCTCGCTATGCTCTTCTATCCAACACATTGCCCATGTTTCTCCTCCGGGTTCACCTGCGGACCTTCGATTCCTGTTCTATTTTTCCTTTACATTTTCTCGTTGATTTCTTTATCTTTTTTTTCTACTTCCTTGCCTATTGCCGCAATTCCCCCTGGAAAGAATACCTCTCTCTTGTTACCTACCCACCCTCATACAACAACAAACACAATTGTCAAGAACGACCCTCTCGCGTGGGCATTGACCTCGGAATCCCTTCGCAATCATGGCGCTTGCCATGGTTGGTTACCATTTGTCTCCCGTATGGCGTTTGATCGTGCGCCTTAGCTGCGTTTCATTAGATTTTATTTCCAGCCGACCGGCCTCAAGAACCAAGCTTGCAATTCGTGACTTCCGGGTGGGGGGACTATAACTAGTCAGGAACGCGGGTGGCAGATAAAGAAATAAGCATAGGTGTAAGCATACCACATGTACACTAATCTGGGCAAGGATCTGGGCAAGGATCTGGGCAGAGATACACGGGCAGGGAATGATGGTGCAATTAACCCCAGTTGTTTCTTAGATCGAAGTGGGAAGTCAAGCACCGTACAGCATATCACACCCCGGCACAATACTCGACTATACTATGTGACTCTCAGCCTCACACCACATGCGCCCGTCCTTGGTGAAATGAGTTTCTGCATCTTCTGGATGAAACACTGACCGACATTTAGTATTGAGCAGGGGTAGGATCGATCGATCGAGTTCTTTTTCTTCTTGCCTGGCTCAGCAATAGAGGGACAGATACCAGTCTTGTAGGTAAAGTACAGACATCGCAATTGTTCATTCTGGAATGTATGTACAGTGCATAGTGTGTACCATTATTTAAGATTATAGTATGGAAAGAAATCTTTCTTAGCCACACACATTTGACAGAATACTTAGCACCAGGTCTCACTTATTTGGTCATCTTATTCAGTAAGACACAAGATCAAAAGTACTGCCCTTATGGACTAATGAGCCCATGGGCCATTCGCCACATACCTCCTGCCATTGTACAGAGTAGAGCCCCAAGAATCCCCACCAACTCCTCTCTCAGCCTTCCTTGCCAACCTTGTACTTATACGAGTAAAATTGCTTCAGGTAAGAAATTTATGGAGCACGGAGTACTGAGTCCCCAAAAGAAGCAGAATATGATTTCAACACTATCATGAAGTCAGTAGAATGAAATGCACACCAGTCCACTCATATCCCTGTCCATCGTCCACTCTGTTAAGCTTGTCCCGGGACGACTTCCACCCAAGAAACCTCCAAACATGTAGTACCCTGTACTTAGTACACCAAAAATTCTTTTCTTTCATCATGCGCTTTTTTTTCTTGTCTGTTCATCTGTGGCAAAGGGGTGCTCTACACTACGAATATTTAGCTTTTATTATGTTTTGTACCATCAATGTTATTGAGCACGTATAATAGTGTAGAATCACGAATCGCCACACCCAATCAACAATCCCAGCAAAGGGGAAAAATAACAACCTACTTACTATAAGGCACGAGGCACTGTCGAAGCTAGTTAACTAGCTTGCTTGCCTCACCAAAAATCAAGGTAACCACCTACCTACCTACCTAACCTGACCTAACCTCACCTTCGTGTAGAGTCCATAGGAATTACTACAAGTCCTGTACTGTACACAATAGAGATGAGTACGGAGTACCACCCCCCAGCACACAGCCGCCCTTCCCCCCCGGCGCCTTTCTCACATTGGTGGTAGGTAGGGATTACCCTCAGCCCCGACCCCAGCCCCAACCCCAGCCCCAGCCCCAGCCCCAGCCCCAGTTCCTCCCCCCCCAAGACACAACGGGCAGCGGCAACGCAAGCCAACGCCACGGGGCCCCCGGGACCCAACAAACCGCAGAAGGGAGGGTAAGGTATGACGTACGCGGCTTGCAGATTCACGGGACGATCTTAATTTCTTCTTCTTTTTTTTTTGGTGTTTGGGATTGACATACTCCGTAACACTGTCTGGGCTGGACTATATGCAGAGTGAATTTTGGGATACGGTTTCTCTGGGGGGCGATAGTGCGGTAGTCCTCATACTACCGACCCTATTTCTTTAGTATGAAAAGGCTGACGGCTGAGCATCGATGATAGTGAGTGGGGTTGGGATGGGATGGGACTCGGGACGCAGTGAGCATGGATGATTATTGTAGGTGTGCTGCTAAAGAAGTGAACGGCTGTAACTAATGCATTGGTAGGTGTTGTTGGTGCCGCTGTCTACTTTGCTTTGCTGTGCTTGGATGGTAAGTTATTAGTAGTGTTATGTATGTGCGGTAGTGGGACCAAGAAGGATAGTCAGTGGATGTTAACTTGAACTGCCGATGGATGACGGACGTTTCCTCTCACTCTCTGGTCTGGTCAAAGACAAAAGTGTGAGAATATCCTCCTGACTACATCAATTACGATAATAGGCAACATGCTTACACACTACCTGGAAGAGTGGATGTTACCGAATGCTTGTTGATCCGGCAGTCATTGTGACTCATACCTATACTCATACTTTCCAGTCGGTTGATCGGCTGTCGGGGAGAAAAAAGTACGGGGGAAAGTATAAGAAGACCCCAGTGCACAGGTGAAAGGATGTGACTCCGCAGATCCAGGATGTCCTTGATGTATGTACGTCGGGTCATCGATTTATGCAGAGTGATGCCACTGGGATTTCCTGTAATCAGAAACTGACGACGGGATGTCTTATGTGGATGTTTCATCCCTATAGAAACTTCCGATCTATAGCAAACGGATCTACAAACGTACTAATCCACGCCGTGTCAGACAACTCGCGGTTGACTAATTCACAATCATGGTATCTTCAGCGCGATGAGCGAGCCCCACAGTCAAATCCTACAGCTACGCGAAATACCAATGTATCAAATTTCTTTTTCATTTCAAATGTATCAACAACCGCTCGCTTCTGGGTATGGTAAGCAAATGTCTTCAGTGCCAAATGAGAACAATCAAACAAAAAGAAAAGCCGCAATTTCCGAATCGTCAGACCGGGACGATTCCAATGTACACGAGTATAAAGGGGGAAAGGCGTTGAGAGCGGTGGCAAGGTTGTTCGAGGTGGATGTGTGGAGGAGGCGGAGGAGAAGGGTGTGAGGTCGGATGACGTGGACCCACGATGGATGGTGATTTGTGACTTGACGAGGGTAGTGTTGGTTGGTGTATGTTGATTGTGTTGATGCAAAACCACATGAAGATATTGGCTGCTCCGTGAAAATGCTTTCCCGCCTTTTTGCAGACCATGAGAACAAATGCGCCCAGTGCGGTTCCGTATTCGAAAAAGAGATAAAATGATGGAAACAAACAACAAAAACAAGCAAGTCTAAGTATCAATCCCAGTCAAAGTCCCAACGCCACGCGTGCTATGCCAATACACAAGGCCTCCGGTATGATAAGACAAGTAGGAAAAGAAGAGGAATAAGACGAAGGCATGGAAAGAGAAAAAAGAAAGGGGAGAAAAGAAGAAGAAAAAAGTATGAACAGTAGAAGGTAAACAGATCCGGGGTTTGGCTATCATCGGCTTTGACAGGCAGCATAAACAATGGTGCTACCATCACGGATCACGCGCTGGCATAATTGCCAAGACCGTAGGCGTCGATCGACGAAAAAGCTCCCGTAGAAACAGATAAAAAGAATATGCAATGATGTCACAATCGTTCTTCGGGACGTGCGCAATGCGAATTGACGTGTGGGTCGGCGACATGCTGGGTGGCACGGCAGATTAGGTCGGCCGAAGTCGTGAGATTGTCAACGTGATCGCCACCCCCAAAGTCATATCGATTTCGTAAACAACACGGGTCATCCGAGGACGTATGTTTCGCGAGCCTTCGGTCGAATATGGCGACCGCCGTGGGTAGCACGAGGTTCCACCTGACAAAGCCGCAGATGTCATTCCAGATCCCAAGTTCAAAGAGCCGGCCTTCTTGTGAAAATTGATCGACTGGCGGATTGCGGAGGACGCGCTTGGGCCAACAGCCACCATTCTCGACTATGCCAGGCATGCAGGGGCCGGCCGGGAATGTGGCTCGACGAAGACCAAGAATTCATCGGCGGAATAGGCGAGAAATAAGGAAAAAAGGGGGTCATCGCATGGCAGATGTGAAGTTTCGTGGCTTTGGAACAAGCGCTCGCCATCCGTCTCGTGGCAGCAGCTGCTAGGCCCCGACCGTTACCCGCCCCAAACAGCCAGGGTCGATAACAGGGATCTTGTGGTTATTTCTGTGCCTTTCTGACTTTGGTGCTCGTCCGTCCCATTTCCGTCTTGGTCATGTTGCGGGTCAATCCACCAATATAATCCTGAAGAAACTTGTTTTCGCTCTCCAGTTTGTCATGATCGGATTTCACGGCTTCGATGCGTTCTGCTAGCGCTTGGAGTGACGATTGAAGGGCTCTAGCTTGCCTGTTGGTAGATTGCGAGATTCCGTTAGCTTCTTCCCTTTTTTGACCCCCTTTCTGCGTGGTCGAAGTGGCGCCCATGCTATGTGACGGGTATATTGATGGATGGTGCCCAGAACTCACTCCTGTAATGTTTGCCTGGCCTCCTTGCCCAGTCGCTCCAGATCTGCGGAATTTCGGCGGGGACTCATGGCGCGCGCGTCGTCGGGCGGGAATTCCTCTTCTTCAATCTCGATTTCGGGGTGATCTCGTGGTACAAGGATGGACGCACTCGGTTTTCGACTGGCCATGCGAGGGCGTTCGGATCGTCCTCTTCGTTCGGTTTCAACGTCAGAGATGGATGAGGATGAGGAAAGTGAGGACATATGCGAGCGACCGTTGTCGTGGGGATGCGGCAGGGTTGGGACAGGCGAGGAACCGTGCATGTCTGACGTCGACGCCATGGTTTGTGCGTGCTGGCGGTGGCGCCGGTGGTTGGATTTAAGAATTCCGGTGGTTGAGGGTGGCTTGAGCGATGGAATCAGAGCAACTCTCGGGCGGTCGCTGTGGCGGGTTTCCAGGTTTCCCGGTCGTTCAAGGTTCGGTAGAAATCCCACAACAGGATATGGTCAACAATCGAGTTCCTTCTATTCTCACAGTAGGCCGTGACTACCTCTAGCGATGACCTCAGATTTGAAAGATCTGCGTTTCGCTGGAGGTAGCTGTCGTTGAAGCAAACGGGGGGTGTTTCCCAGGCCGGCAGACGAGGATTTAGCCGGAAAAAGCAATCCAGGACAACGAAAGCAGACAAGTAGCTGTAACGAGATCCGGATTCACCACGTCGGAGAGAGGCGGCGAGTTCAGGGGATCGATTAGAAAAGAACCCTAACTGGAATCGTATAGACTTTGACTGATTTGTAACCGGAAGATTGAAGCGCAGGGGGGGGTAAAAAAAGGGGAGGGCCTCCCAAAATAGTGAGGGTCAAAAAAGGGAGTGACCGAAAGGACAGACGTATCGGTTAAGCGAACTTAAGAAAGATAGCCGATACAGTTGCTGGGTAAGTAGGTAGGTAGGTAGGTAGGTAGGTAGGTAGGTAGGTAGGAAATGATAGAAGAAGTAGAAGAATCAACAATAGCAAGCAATTCAACAACGCAGGTTATGTGTCCCTGGAGAATAATTGCTATTGCCAATGTTCCTTTTTCGGGCGAAGGGTCTATTTGAATTAGGGAATTAGATTTATTCGCAGTCGTCGAACTTGAGTGGGAGAAAGTTCGTTGGGCAGTCCGAAAACGGGCGGACTAAAATCTTGGACCGGGGGGGGAGGTTAAAAGTGGTCAGTGGAAGTGGGTGGAGAGGTAGAATTGATGGTCGAAGCGGGTTGGTGGTAGTGTGGTTGAAGCCGTTAAGGAACGGAAGTTTGTCACCGTCGCAATGCCGTTCGATCGAAAAGGGGAGAGAGGAAGAATGGATGGATGTGCGAGTGAAAAAGGAAGAGGGGGGAAAGAGGAGAAAAGAAGAAGAGAGGGGAGAGAGAGAGAGGGAGAGGGAGGGAAGAGAAGAAAGAGAAAAGGGAAGGGGAGAAAGAGAGAACAAGAAGAGCTCTGTCTCTGTGTTGGTTGGTAGTAATAGTGGAGGAGGAGGAGGAGCAAGAGGAGTAATAGTCTTAAAAAAATTGGAGACACTGGAAGAAGCCGCTGCGAGAGTCGCTGTAGGAAGAGTTCGTCGCAATAATAATGATGGTTCCAGTGGATGTTTGGCGGGCAGAGCGCGGGTGTCGAGGTGAGTGGGAAATAATAATGGCGGTAGTAATGAGAGAGAATGGTAAGTGATAATCAATTGACCCAAGGACAGATACTTTTGCTCATATAATTTCATTCGGCCGTAGTCACCAGAATCAAGTTAAGTTAGTAAGGGAAGTACAGTAACTAGGTAATGAATGATACCAGAAAGAAAAAAAAAGCTGGTTAATGACTCGGTAATAAACCATATGGAGACTAATATTACCAAATTTGTACCAATTGGGAAAGGAAAGAAGGAGGCCCGGAGGAGGGAGGGGGGGGGGGGAAGGGGGAGTGGGATGGGAGGGAGAGGAAAGGATGTGAGAGGAGATAATCCTGCGATGACCTACCACTCACTACACGCGGGATACCTATATTTGTCCACTTTTACTCAAGAGGAATACTTCCGATGACCAAAGCCGCTTACTCACTTCCCCTAAGCGCATACTATTTCCCTCGTCATCAAACTATGTGTAGTGTACCATATAACTAACCTCGGATATGGTTTATAAATAAAGAGGCGAAAACCGCCCTGACATAAAAAATAAACAGAAACAACAAGAAAGAGAAAGAGAGAAGCTGAAGATAGAGCAAGTACAGTACGTACTGTACAGTGTACACAGCCCAGTAGAGACCACACTACCTACGTATGCGATGGAGCAAGTGAGTAAGTCACATAATCCATCTACCTAGTACATATTTGGTGTACTTTTGGGCAGAAAACAGTGCCAAATTCGGTATGGGAGGTACAAACAGAGTACGGAGTGGTACCCCGGTGGATGCTACTTGTCCATTTTCGGGACTAGTGCCAGCGCACTAAAGGTGGGAAGACTCGTGGCCGCCACTGGAATGATATTCGCCGTATTCCTGGGTACGGGAATATTCAGAAAAGAGATTGAGATATGACCAAAAGAGAAAGAAAATATTAGATAAACATCATCCCCTCCCCCCAAAAAATGGCATGGGAAATAATATACAATATTATACAGAGCAAGCAGCAGCTGAACCGGCAGTTTGGTCAAGTAAGGTACCCTATCGACAAGGAAAAGAAAATCTTCCTACGCGCTAATCATTCAAGATGATGATGGTGATGACGATGATGTGAACTTCAATCGTTTCTTTTGTTCTCTAATTTTCTTTTCTTTTCTTTTCTTTTTTTTTCTTGATTTTCCCATTTCCCCCCCCCTCCTCCCCCAAACAACACAGCACAGCAGCAGCAGCAACAACAGCAAGCAGCAAGCAGCAGAGCACTGACTGTTGAATGTTTCGGTGAAGGAGCTCCGTTCGGCCTGCCTTCCTGTGGTTGGTGGGCGGGCGGAAGAGAGGAGGGGGAACCACTACTTACAGGTTTTCCACGGCTCTTTAGGGGTTCGTTCGGTGCCTCTAGTTCGGTTAGTGACTTTCAGGCCCAGGATTTCAAGCCCCTTGGTTCGACGACTCTTTCTCCTTAGCAGCGAATCTAAATCCCCCCTAAAGGGGGGCAAAAAGCCAACCCGCCCAACGAGAAGAAAGTTGTGGTCCATCGGAGGAATGGCGATGATCCTCATCTGTTTCCACTGCTTCCCACACTTTGCCCAGTGCCACACCACACTCAAAAACTGTGTGTGTGTGTGTGTGTGTGTGTGTGTGTGTGTGCGGGTGCCGAGGAAGGCGGAGAAAGGGCACCATGAGGATTGGTTTCACTGTAGGCGATGATGATCGATGGCGATGAATGATGTCGAAGCGTGACATGATGATTTTTCTACCTTTGTCGTGCCCGTTCACGGACAGCCGCCGCCGCCCCCTTTGGCTCCAGTCGTGCCGTCGCCACGGGTTCACTGATCACAATCGGCATGATTGACGACACAAAAACCCATGAACCACGACCATCATGCTGCGCATACATACAGTACGTAGCCAGGGTCATAGCAATCCTCATGTCCAGCGAGTGAGAGCAGGCGCGCTCGCGCGCGCCTCCCCCTGCTCGACTGCCGAGGCGGCGGCGGGCGGCGGGCGGCGGATCATTAAGCCACGCAGGGCAGAGCGAGCCTACCGTAGATGGCTAATCTCCCTCTATGGGGCAACAGCTGTCTGTAAGTTAGTCAACGGTAGTCAGTCGGTCCTAGTTCAAAACGTCTTTTCGTTTCTGAAGTCCTTCAGGGGAGGTCATGCAATGTCGATCGAGCCCATCAGATTGTGGCTTCTTGGTTTGATCCCCAGCGAGACACAACCTGGTAGAAATGGAGATCCTCAGGGCCATAGGACCTAGAAAATTACCCTAGTCCCATGCCCTATGGCTCCCCCCCGCCGGGATACTGTATGTAGGCAAAAGGGTAGATGGGTGGGAAATCACCCGGCAATATCAATCAGTCCATGGCTGATTTCAGGCATGAAGCTGTTACTATTTCTGCTTCTACGACGACGGAGCTAGCGATGGCAATCAAACTGCACGCCCTTCGACGGTGCAACAATCCATTGTCCTCCTAGTAGGGTGTCCGGTTGGGTCGGAAACCGCGATTCCACCAGCTGGTCAAGTCTCAGATTCGCACGGAGTCCTCAATACAATACTACAAATAGGTAATCTACACAGTACACGATACTATACACACAGAGCGAAAGACACACACACACACACACATACACTCACACATCCACCCACCCTTGATGTGCAGAGAAATCTCAAACTGCCAGTGATCGATTGGCGGCGGAGTTTACTCCCTCTAGCTTAAACTCCACCAGCAGCATCAACGGCTGGGGCAGGACGATCCATTCCCGCGGGTTCGACATCTTCTGACGGATCATGGCCGGGAACAGCCAACGAGTGAGGAGGCAGCGTTGAAAATTGGGCAAGGATGTGCAAGCCGCCGATCCAAGAACCACCCGGGAACATGTGTCTCTTCGGGGGGATCGAATCACAGCGTTGCTAAAGTGACGAAATTGGTCCCCTAATTAGTTGTGAATTGTGATCCCCCCCTGAGATGTATGGGGTAAGATAGTGAGGTTAGTACATATGCAGTGGATAGGATCGATAGATAGGGAGACACAGCACATCTACTGCTGCTCTTGATTTATAGGGTGGATGTTGTTTGAAACAAGGATTCCAACAACGATCATCACGAAGTCGATTTCCCTTGTCTGTACTGTGCACATGGGTAGATACAGTAGACTGGATGAAAGAGCTTTTCGCGGTGGTTGCACAGTACATGACCCATATAAGTGGGATTAGTGCGATTCTAACACCGATAGCCACTCCACGCCCGACCATGGAAAACATCTCAGAGAAAATTCAACACTGAACAAACTCCCTTTTGTTGCACGCCTGTCTTTTCCAATCACTTCTTTCTTACCTTTGGGTCCCCTTTTGGCCCTTGCGGCGCTGACCGTCGGCCACCGTGGTTCAATGCTCGGGAGAAACCCAGAATGAATAACTAAGAAGTATCGCCGCTCAGTGAAGTGATGACGGATGCGCACGTCATGGGAAGTCTTCTTATTGGACCTGTCTCTTGTCACGACCTTTTTTTTGCCCTCTCTAAATCACAAATTGAACAGTTCTTTCGGTCAGACCAAATGGTACTTTTGTTTTTCTTTCTTTTCATTCCTACTGGCTCCGATTCAGGAAGGACTGGGCCAAAGTACGCGAGGGAGGAGAAGGGGAAACCCAGAAACAAAGGATTTTACTTCAGCTGAGGCTGTCAAATATCTCCGACCGACTCCATTCCATCTACTCCGTACCTAACTCATACATAAGTATGCTTCCTATCTATCTATCTGGTGGAGGACTGAAACCGATCAACGTCACTGGGCGGAGTCATATTATGAGTAGTAGGGACTAGGGAGGGGAGGGGAGGGAGGGGGTTTTAGGAGGAGGAGGGGGAAATTGATTTTATCATTATAATCTAGTATCAATACTTAAATCCTTCAGCACCAACAGAGTACTAACTATGTAGCAGATCGCGTCTCTCAGCCCTTTCGACCGCTAGTACTATCGTGGCAAATTTGCAGCAAGGCGCCACAGCAAGTTAACTGATTTAGTTACACATACAGACATACATGAGCCCCAACTCAACGGACGATGCCCGGAACGTTCCCCGGCGGCTACTTTAGTGCACCTTTTTTTTTCTTTTGACTTTTTCTCGTTAAATGTTGTTATTATTTCATGGGGTTGGTGAATTTTCTTTGCCTGGTCTTCTGGTACACTAGATATACACACCGTCCACTCTTTTTGAAGGAAGAGCAACGCGTCTTCCTTCTGGTTCGATACAATAGTCTTGTCTATCCGGTTTTTCTGCTCTCACTTACACGAGTTCGACCTTGACTCCTGGCCGGACTGGGGTCTCGCAGAGGGATAATAACGATAATAACACGAGAGAAAGCTCGCAGGGATTCCAAATTGCAGAAGTCAGGAAAGGTCCAAGGAACAAACGACTAGGAGATCTTGGCAGTTTGATCCTCGTTAAGGGCAATTGGCAGTACTACTACTAGTAGTAGTAAACCCGGGTCAATCAAATGAGGTTGAAATTGAACACAGCAGACCAGCAACCCGCCGCCAGCCAGTGGCAGATATTCCTTAACCCCCGCATCATTGCATGCAGTTGCGCGCGCGCTCGTCTCTCTCCCTCGCTCACACATCTTACTCTTAACTATGGAACACTCTCTCATCCCCTGAAGGAAGCGAGAATATGACTATGAGAGATCCAAAGAGCCGGAAAAAGATCATAGGACTATCAAGTCAACTGCGCTTACAATCAATTCCCTATCATCTCTCATGAACTACTACTTAGCCACACTATACCTGTCGTCCGATGCTCTGCGCGCGTGTGCGTATAGTGGATAGCATAGTGGATTAACTTGGTTGGGTATGCGACTTGGACAATGAAGAGGAATAGCTGTAGTAAGTCAGTCATGTAGTACGTATAACTGGAGGTACAGTACATACATACAGTACTCCGTACAGTACCACCTCTTCCTCCTCCACTTCTCGCCATCAGGCGATGGGGATTGTCGATGGGGCTGTCTTACTGTCGCTCTTTGTCTCTTAAGGACCCAAAGGAGAGACACAATGCTTATTTGACGATCGGCAGGCATGGAATCCGAATTCCTTCGCTTGCTGCTGCTTCTATGCTGTTACCTGCTGCTGTCTCGAATGTGAAGAAAGGTCACCAAGTCAATCAATTGTCATTCTCCATAACTTATTGTTCAGCCTCGTTTACCTAAAGGGAATACATGAAACCGAGACAGGCGAGGAAATCCCGAGATGAGAGAAAAGGAAGGAAGGAAGGATCCCAGAGGGGTCTTCCGGTCGAGTTTACCATACCATACCAGCGTTCCCGTGATGTACTAAGTAAGGGTACACACAACTGACTGACCGCGTGACTACTTCTTGCTCCACCAGTCCATTCCACTCTTCTCCGATGATGATGATGATGATGATGATGATGTTGACTGTTATTGTGATAGTGAAAATGATGGATTGTCCACGGTGCACCTGTTCCTTTGCAAGAAACAGAGTGCAGTGCAGGAGAGTAGCTACCTGCCTTACTTCAGCGTGAGGCATTTGATAACTTCACATTATCCACCGGATCCTTTCACTATGCTTCAGGAACAGTCAAGACAGATAGCTTAGGTGGTCACAGGACAGCATATCATACAGCACTTCAGGTCAAATGGTAAGTACCAGGCGAGTACCGGGATACACATGTCCCATCGCCAGTTGAAACAGCGATTAAATCACCCGACAGCGAACGAACCTCACAACCACATCCCCCCCCTGGTCGCGCTGACCGTGATGACAAGCAAGCTAAAGTGCCTGTCCACGATGCTGCCCTCGTTTCCTACACTCCCTGAGCGAGTGACGATAAAGAACAGAACCGCCGATCTGCGATCGGGTAGTGGCTGAACTGCGATTCTCCGCTATTACCGCCAAGTGCGAGCAAGCCTTTCCTTTCTTTCACTCAACCTTGACGATGACTAAGATAGGGCCATCTTTTGGCTGACGGTCTCAGCAATCCATGATCAAATGTCACTTGATATTGGATGGGCTCCCCTGTCGATAATCCTGATCGGCGCATAACTGTTGCCGCCTCCTCATTTTGATTTTCACACGGCACACCGTTCTCCTCAGACTTACATACACGAGGCGGAGAAAGAAGGTCAATTTCGGAGCCACAGTCATCATCTATCAAAGGCTGTCAGTCATCGCCGTCGGTTCAGAAGGAGGGGCAACTAACACTACTGGGCTGTGGAAGAGAAGGATCAATCGTCCCTCCGTATCCATCACCTAGTGATTGGAACCCCCCCCCCCCCATCAAGCTACCCACTACCCACTATCCACCACCTCGGCTGCTCCCCTCCTTTATTTTGAATTTCCCACCCCCTGCTCTACCGTTAGCATGCCAAATGGAGTCAGGTCGTGGTACGTATACACCTCTTGGCTATTGTTATTGCCTGGTAGGCTACCACGCCCTGACCGTGTGTTAGGTTGGTTACTGGTTCTCAGGTACAGTAAGCACATACCAACTCACCAAGCAAAAATCAGGTAAACTAGTCAAGAAGTTGGTGGTAGATACTACTATACTAGCCAGGTACCAACCACCGCAGCAGTAGCACCCACCCATCTGGAGCTTGGGGGATAATTTTCCCTGGCAGATATGCAACATTTCCCAGTTCATAACCCGTTCACCGTTCTCACTGCCCACACACACCCCTTGCCCGTCCATCTATCGAGCCAATCTATGTTTCCTGTCAATCCATCCAAAGTGCATCTCCAAAACAACTAGCTAGCCCACTTGGCAGCAGCAGCAGCAACAAGGAAAACAACAAAAAAAGTCAAGCTCAGGCACCACCCCTCATTTGATCAAATTTATCAATCAATCAATCACGGTGTCAAAAAAAAATGGTCCCCAGTTCCGAGCCCAGTATTTCCCTTCCTCGATCGTTGATTTGCCAGAGACTGGGGGTTCATATGGGAAAAAAAATATCGAAACTAAAACTAAACCACTTTTCACATATCCACTCGGACTAACAAGTCCAATCCGATTTCCTTCCCTCCCCTCCCCCCTTCCGAAAACCTGCATGGTGGCTTTCAGCCCAAACCGCAAGATGGAAAAGCGGCAAGAAAGAAAGAAATTAGAAAAGTAAAACCATTTTTGAGTTCCTGATTTGTAGTTCTTTGCACTCTTATGTTGAGAGATCCTTGGTCCAATTAACATAGATACTAGATGGGGGTGTGGTAAACATTCGGAGGTTCGGAGTTATAAACCCCCAACCACATTCGAAAGGCCTCGAAGAAAGGCTCAGAACTAAGGTATTCATGTACAGTACATTTCCACGATCTATAAACACATCTATATTGAAGTTATGAAGATATAGAATCGGATATCTTGCAAGTAAATCCGTCCCCTCAAGGGAAAAAGGCATCACTATGACAAGACCTATAGATAATAACCATCAACCATTATCCATCTATAGCATCCCTCTAGCTCAAACGTCAACAGTTACGTATCATGAAATGAGCATGGACAGCCAAACAAACAAACTCGGGTACTCATAAGTCAACTCCTGCTCCAGCACCCAGGGGGTATCATTCCCAAATCCTCCAATCTTCCCCGTAGTCCGTTCCGCACAGCAAATAATGTACGGGTACAGGGTCATCAGAATCGACCCCCCGAAAGAAACCAGAAACCCCCCCCTTCCTCCTCCTTCCAGAAAGAAATTAGAATCCTCTGTTCCCTCCTGTCCCCACCATCTCCGATCCTCCCACAACCTCCTGGGGACCAGTCAGCTCGCCTGGAATACTCAAGTAGATATTCATGCTGTTTGATAACGCGGATCCGATATGCTCATAGTACTAAGCACTTATGCGCCTGTTGTAGAGCACCTCATACGTACTCTCGATATCTTCTGCCCCCTTCAACCGGTATATGAAGTTCCTACATACCCAGAAGGTTGACATACAGTAGAAAAGATACAGCCAACCCATCAACAAAACCCAGTCTACCAAAAATCACCGCAGTGCAGTGCATGCACATTGTCACAACAACAACACACAACATAGAACCGGACTACCGCCCACTGTACGATATAGCCCACTAACTACTCCCTAGTAGCCTAGCATAGAGCCCCAATATAGGTGGATATACTCTGTGGTCTACAACAAAAGTCCCCTGAAGCCGGAGCCCGACTGTCACCCACCCACCCACCAACCTCAAATGAATCCCCCTCGTCCCAAATTGATATCAACTCCGAAGTCACTAGCACTAGTACTCACAGCAATCTAGGGGAAACAACAAAAAACGTGGCTTTTAGGGGAGGGAGGGAGGCGGAAGGGAGGCGGAAGGGGGAGGGGGGGGAGGGGGTGGTTCGTGCTCGCCTTGTATAAAGACAGACTAGTCTCAATCAAACCAAGTCAAATCAATTCATCACCAAGAAATTCTAGGAAACCACTAGGTATGAATCTTGCATCATCATCATCATCATCATCAACTTTGTTTCATCGACGGTGTGGATTAGGAGTGGCATGTATGTACCTGCGCATTGTTGTATGAGGATAGCAACCTCGGTGACTTCTCGGGGGCAGATTCCTCCCCCCAATTGACTTGATATTATGGCTGTTGCTTTTATGGAAGTTGGTCTGAGTCTGAGGATCTCTGTGCGAAAGTCTCCCGAAAGAAGAAATTGGTAGAACTAACTAACTACCTTCAGGGCTAGGGATCATAGAATCGGGAAGTAATGCCGTCGTCGTCGTCGTCGTCGTTGTCTGCTGCCTTAGTGGGGAACAACAGGAAGGGATTGGAAGTATGGAGTGATAGCACTAATTTTTTTTAAAAAAAAAATAACCCAAAGAAAAAGAAAAGAAAAGGAGAGAAATCCTGAGTTACGGAATCTGCCGAGTAACCGACACACGCCTTTCTCTTTTTTACTCAAGAAATTTTTTTCCAGCAAGAATTAAGTACATAACAGGCTAATGGCACAAGGAACCTGAAGAGGCCACATAGGATACGGTAGAGACGAGAAAGGAAAGGAGTCCCCGAGGCCCGGGTCAGCATCATAATCAACTCTGAGACTTTACGGAGCACTGAACAGTACATACACCGACTGCTCCCAACTACCGAACTTTGGCGGATCGTTCATCCTGTAAAACAGCCAAAAGGTCAATCCCGCCTGGCTTACATCATTTGAACAATTCATTATGCAGATCGCGGGTCTGCTGATTACTGTGGTTTTTTTTTTCTAGGGACGAGGGACGATCTCACGTTATATCATTCTGTCGGTCAGATGGGGCCGGCATAATCGGGGGAGGGGAGGGGACCAAGGGGTTAGCCGCGGTGAGCCAAAGCTTTCCTCTCCCCATCTGGCAATCTACCATGGAGAATGATGTACAATGTACTCGGTATATGCATGATTCAACAAGGTCTAACACTCATTTGGGAATCCTGTGGAATCATCTCGTATGCATGCACGGCTACAACATCGGATGACGCAGGTGCCTTGCCACCGGGCCCCAATTCCCCATGTCTATAATGACCCCTAACATATAGGTATGTGCATTATACTCATAACCGCTAAACGATACAGGATACTCTAAGCTACTAAGCAACCTCCCCCAATCATGCTAGAGACGGTGAGCTCTTCCATTGGTACAGGGCCCGCAACACTGCAATGCCCCCTGACTGCGTCTCAACAGTACGTCCTCGGCCCCGATCATTGGCATCGTGCTTGCCTTGCTCGGTTACGTCTGGCTGTTCCTCTGAAGAGCGTGACCACCCGGATGCGAGGCCCCAACCGTACGGCTGCGTTCCGATCCCAGAGCCAGACCTCTCATCGGCGAGTCTCCGCGAGTCACGGCTGCGCAGAAGTCCCGTCAGCCCTTCGGATCCCTCAGCCCGTGCTCCATAGTTCTCATAGTCAATCGCCCCCAGCGGCAGAGGGCTTTCATCGGTGATAGTGCTCCCAGACGCGCGGGACTGGTTTCCCCACCACATGCCAAACTTGCCCTCGCTGTTCCGGGTCACAAGAGCCGCGTTCGCATTATGCTCGATCCACGGCCGATATGCGCGGCAGCGAGCTTGGTGCCACTCGTACACATATTGCCATGCCTCTCCTTCCTCATTTGTTTGGTTCGCACTAGCCAGGAATCGTACCTCCTGCGGCCGGATAGGCCGACAAAACTCCGCCAGGTGATGGAAGAAAATCCCCTTGAATGTGTGACTGTTCTGAGAGCAACTTCCGGAAGAGTCACACACTTCCTCCAGAACCCCGCCGCGTCCAAGACCTTGCCACTGTTGACTGTCCTTATCGGGCCATCCGGTTGCCTTGATCACATTCAGGACTAATTGATGACCATCGTACAGGTACTGCTGCAAAGCAGTTGCCAACCAGAGTCCCCTAAGCCCGCTAAGGATCACACCCTGGTTGTAGGTATATACCATTGTGTTGAGGACATCGCACTTGCGGGTGCCAGGCCGGTCATCGCTCTCCCAGCCACTGATGTGGAAGCCGTCACCATAGAGCCCATTGCTCCCGGTCATGTTAGATGAATTGAGCCAGGCATAGCCCTCAATGGCGGCTTGCAGGTGGGCAGGGTTATGCGGATAGCCATCCGACCAGTCCTCATCCTCAACGATTCCTGCCACAAAGGGGGATTGAATCTTGTCACCCGGAAAATACAGGTACATCCCGATACTCGCCGAGATATATAATTCGTTCGTGATGGCATTCTTGTAGGGGGTCAAGTAAGGGCTCCAAATCATCCCACCGCCACAGAGCAACTCATCCCACCCCCCGGACGCGAGGCCGTAGAACACACGTGCTCGATGCGCCGCGGGGGATCGAAACTGGGTTCCGTGCCAGCTTAGCTTCGCAGTTGCGTTGGGCGAGAAAGGGTCGTCATAGTGCAGATCAGAGTGCAAGACTTGAAACTTTATGTTTTCCAGCCAACCCAGGACTACCCACAGCATATCATCGAAGGCCTGACCACGCAGGGAGATGGCATTCTCGCCAAAGTAGAACGCGGAAGTCTGGTCGAAGAAGTGGTTGATCAGGTTCTCCGAGCCCAGTTCGTAACGACCGCGCTTCGTCGAGTGCTTCCAATCTTCAAGATCATCCGGTGACACAGCGGTCGACAGCACGTCGCCGGTGGTGGCAGTCAGCGAGGCAAGTGTGGCAGAGACATGGGTGCCCAGCACGGCCGCAGTCCAATCGATACTCGACGGCCAAGTGCCTTGCCACAGTTCGAAATAAGCATCCTGCATCACATGGAGAGCATCCAACAAGTCGTGCAACGTGCGGCTGATGCTCTCGGTGGACTCGGGAGGTGAATCCGGGGCAGGCAGGGGGAGCTGGTGCTCCGACGGTGATGCATTTGTTCCCTCGAGCGGAATCTGTGCGTCCAGGGCGACTGGCGCAAGGACGTCCTGCGACCGCAACGCCAGCGCATTGGTCTCAAACAGAGTTAGGAGCAGACACAGAAATCTAAAAATGAGCAGAAATGCTTGCATGATTGTAATTCTGTTCTAGCTGTATTTACCCCGGATCCGAGGGGTTGGGGATCTGCTTGTTTCGAAAGCCTGATAATAAAGGGAGGAAAGGGACAGTAGCAGTAGCAGTAGCAAAAGCAGCAGTAGCAGTAGCAGCAGTGAAAAGGCAGATAAGAGGGATAACGATTGTCTTTTGATTTTAAAAATAGCTATTTCAGACACGCGGGGGGGATAGATGCACGGAGAGTGGGCTGCATGCAATTGAGGGAGCTGATCGAATGAGACATAATCGGCTCAATGCTGCCCAGTGCGTGCCATGAAGAAGGAAAGGAGGGAAGGAGGGAAGGAGGAACCGGGCTTAGTCCGGAGTGATGATGATGATGATGATGGAGGATGATGATTGAGAGATGGGGAAAAGTAAGAGTCGGGAGTCTAAGGTTAACTTCGGCGTTGTGCGGGGGAGGGAAGGAAGGGAAGGAAGGGAGGGAGAAGGGAGGAGTCTCGGCGGGCTTAACTAATCCCACCTGGGAATGAGCTCCATTTCTTTCCACGGCACCTTCAACTGGCAGTTGGCACTTCTTTCTGACAGTCAAATCTTGGTCTTGCATCACGCGCCCTCCTTGTTGTTGGTCGCATGCCATTCAGAACTTAACCCCGGAGTCCCAACGATCCTATGCTGATTGCTTCGCTTGTCCGGTGCCTTGACCCCCCCCCTCCTAATCCCCGCATTTCCTTCTCGGATGATCATTTATCAATCATTTGGAGAATATTTACAAGGATCCATGGTTTCCCAACAGTCTCGTGGGTTAAGGGTGCCTGTCATGTAAATCACCAAGGTGAGCAACAAAGCATTCTGGTTGAAGGGCGCTACAAGCATTGAGATGGCCACGCGACACTCGTATTCGGTCAGTTCAACCGACACAAAGATTAAATACACACGCTAGTAGACAGAACGGGATATCTAGCTCTGTAACATCAGTCATTCAGGCTGGATGTTCCTACTGCAACATTAGATGACGGTCATAAGGAAATAGGCAGGGCAGATGAGAGAGACCAGTAGCACATACCATATCACTGAAACCTCATGATGCCGGCACCATGCTCCTTTGAAGGTTTTTTTCCCCCGTCAGGCGACGAGCATAATATGGAACTCCCAGGAGACAATGCCGGCTTTGTTCTGCTTCTCCCACCCCCTCCTCTCCCTCTCCCCTAGAGCCGATTTGGTCGAGCCAGCTCCCAGACTTCCAGCCCATGGCATGAATTATCTGGACAACCCTAAGCAGCCAATACGATTCTTATTGTAGTGCGAGCGCAAAATAGCAGGACCCCAATGCTGGCGGAGGTCTGGAGCAAACAAAAGGCCAAGTGTCTGGCGCATCCACGGCCGGTGAGATGAATTGAAAAGAGGACGCTCTCCCAACAAACAAAACATCACGGCGGGCTTAGTCCCGTGCATCATCGGCTCCAGGACTGCGGCTCCTCTCGCGGCTTCTGCTGCGGTTTCTACCGCCGCCACGTCCACCTCTCTGTCCTCCACCCTTTCCTTTATTCGAGGGAGGCGGTCTAACGAATGCGAAATCGACGCAGATGGTTTGGTCCAGTAGTTTGGAGCCGTTCAAGGCTTTGATGGCATCCGAGGCTTCGGGGAGGGTGGAGTACTCGATCAAGGCATATCCCTGTTTGACCACAGACGAGTCAGTATCTGGCATACCATGAGACGCAACGAGAGGAGTTTATGGGGAATAGCTAGCAGAGCTTTCCAGCCCCGGTGATGCCGTGTATGGTAGAAGTGAAGATAGCAGCAACTGACCTTGACGTAACCCGTCCGGCGGTCCAGGTTCAGGCTGAAATTCTTGATCTCTCCATATTCGGCGAACAAGTCCGTGACGTCCTCTTCGGAGGCCTCTTCATGGATGTTGGTCACGATGACAATCCATCCCTCGATGCTGCGTACTGCGACGGCTCCCGCCTGTGTTCTCGGATCGTGGCTACCGTTGCTGGACTGCGCGGGAGCTTCTTCCTCTTCCTCTTGTTGCACCACCGGAGGGTCGACTTCCATTTCCGTAGACATGATGGTGGTATCGGAGTAGTAGCTATATGCTGAGGAAGGAGATAGCTTTGAGGTCGTAGTTCGAGGAGGGCCAATGGCTGGACTTGCAGTTCACCGTCCGAGGCTTGCGATGGGACCTTGCGAAGCTTTGCGGTGTGCTTAGGTAATCGGACTCACTTCCCGACGGCACTCAGTGACTGGCCCTAACCCCGTTCCATATTCGATCTCAGCATATTCAAGGGCTGGAATGGTGTAATAGAGTGCAATCCAAGCAGGAAGCAAATCTTGATTTTCTAGTCAAACGAATAAAGGAGTATCTACTGGGGAGGCCGTGAAGTTGACAGTGAGTCCATGATGATACCTAAATATGTAGATCAGCTGATGACCTGCACTTGGATCTCACCTACTTATGGAATGCAATATCGCATAGACTCAAGTTCCTGACCAGCTTTGAGACAAGTTGCCTATCACCGTTAGCTACCTTAGGCAATAATTTCTTGTAGGACACCCGCCATCTTTAAAAAATGAATAAGTATCCTTCAGCGAAGCTTCACCAGTGATGCTCACCGACTGATACATTCAACCTAGGGAACAGCAGCTTTGGGGCTGCATTTCTATTATACTAAGCAATTAAACGTGGCTGGAGGTGTTCTACATGTGAACGGCAGTTTGCGTGCTGGGATGATATCTCACTCTGTGAAGCTGATCCAAGACCAGTGACCGCTGTATAGCTGACACGTTGGGAACAGTAAGCTTTGGTTTCTAGCTCAATCTTCGCACGTAGCATCTAGTAAATATTGAGCATTGTATAATATTTTGAATTTGCGAACACAGTCTACTCTCCACATCAATGATTGATTTTGCTTGATGTGCAAGTATTGGAATGACATTGAGAAGCTCCCATGCCCTCTTTAGCTTTTCTCGTTGTAAATGCAGTGGCACTTCCTCCAAGAGCTCATCACTATGATGTGGCATAGCACCTTGAGGTAAAGTGAAAGTTAGGCAAGACCATCTCTTGACTATGGAGTGCTACAAAGATAAGCACAGTGTTCCCAGTGAAAACTGCCAGTAAACTGACAGTTGCTGCGTGCAATCATAGTGTAAACACCCTCGCGGTCCTAACACCAATCCCATTCCCTCACACAGCTCTCTTCCCCCTCATCGTCCCCGTGTACAGATCTTGACAAAACTCACATCTTTCACGAGCCAACCTAAACTCAAGCTCTTGAGAGAAAGCAATCTCAATCCACCATGAAGTACTTTCGTGCGCTTCACCCTCATGCACCTGAGAAACCGACAGCCGAAGATGATCAAACCAAGCGTGTGTCAGTCGCGAACAATCCATGGCAAGTCCCCCCCTCCTCCTACATCAACAACAAACACGACATGAATTCTCATACCTTGGAACTCCCTCGGTCAGCGACGATCCGTCGTGCGTCTGCCACTTCAGATATCCCATCCGTTTCCCCAAGCTCGAAGCCGTCGTATGCGGTCCGGAGACAGGCCAGATCCGCGAGCTGCACCAGAGCGAAACCCAGCTAGACGTGGCCTTCGATGCGGTCGGCAGCCGAATGCTCATCAACGAGCACTATCCCAACCCCGTCAACCGCTGCATGTCGGTAGACGTCAGCCTGATCCTCAAAGCCAAGTACGTGCAGTTCGTGAACCTCGAAGGTCTCTCCGACCACTCCCTGCTCCTCACCTTGCGGATCGGACGCACCGCCTCGGCCGTGAGGGGCAACAAGATGAGCCTGAAGGAGAAAGTGCGCGGCTTCTTCGAGTGTCCGCCCTACATGCGCCTGTTCGAGGATCTGTACGAGTGCCGCTGGCCGGAGAAGTTCATCCAGATCCGGCTGCCTGAGAAACGATGCAAGCGTTGGAAGACGGTGGCGCTGATCCTCAAGGCGTTCAACCAGATCACCTCCGAGAACTATTGTCAGATGGCGGGGATGATGATGACCCCTCGTGTCGGGGGCTTGGATGTGCGCGCCATCCAGGGGGAGATCAAAGCCAGGAAGGAGAAGGGCAAGGGATCGAATAAGGTCCGCCGTCGGGAGCCTGTCTCGGCCAAATACAAAGTTGCAGTGAGCGACGCGGACAAGATTGAGCGCGTGAACCAGGCATACGCGGTGCATCTCATGGCCTTCATCAATTCCTCCCCGTTCACTCCGCGCGAGTATATCGACAGGCTCTCTTGAATGCTGCGTAGCTCTGCGGCTGAGACTGTGTGCTGCGCATTACCTTCGACTTCGATCTAGCAGTGAGAAGGACGACATAGGAAGAGGAAGAGGGGATTGTGACTATTACAGTCTGTGGTGCTAATGGGCTCACACCACAACCCATCTTCGGGGTTAGCGAGAAAGTACGGACTCAGCATATGCATATGATGCTCGAGAATGGAGGTCACTTGGGGCATCGAGGTCTTCGTTTCGGTCTTTGCATCTGCGTTGGGCGCAGGTATTTAGGGAGGAAACGCATTATGTCTTTTCATTTCGGATAATTCTTCCATGATGTGGAATGCTAATATCTAATGAGGTAATGTTAATACGGATGATCTTTTGCAGAACATCGAAAAGAAAATGATTGATCTAGGCTCGATTGTCCGCGTTCCTGATCTTATATGGTGCCGTATCTCCCAGGGTTTCCAAGCCATGAATTCATGAAAGAGAACCAAGCTGTCAAGACTTGTGTCTCACATGATCACATACTTTATCAGTCGACTCTATTATGTGATATCTGCTAATTTGGCTCGGACTTATGAAGGAATTGATACCATCCCGATGATGCCCCTTGCATAATGCATTGTACCGTACCTGATTGATCACACCAGGCTCTTCCTATGAGCAGGTATTTCCTATCGGTTTCCGCATCTGAGCAGAGGCCCCGCGCATAGCTTCCTTCCTCAACTGATATATTCCTCGTTTCTTCAAAAACCCATTGAGAAGATCGGATCGAAGGTATGAATCTCCCATCCTCAAAGTCAAAACCTACCTATGCCAAGCTTTTCCATGTGAGACACAAGTGTCTTGGGTTTTGTTCCTTACATACTATTTTCTCTTGCGAGGCCCGGATGGATTGAAAACACAATTGCTCCGTAGAAGGCCCAAGGATGCCTGTTTATGAGTGAGGATGCAGGATGGTGCTCCGGAAGACTATGCTTGAGATTAACTCCCTAAGCATCTCAATTCTTCTCCAACCTCCTCGGTTCCCGAACCAGTTCATCATATTCAAGGCCGCATGAGCTGCAGGTTCCCGCATGCCGCAACACGCCCTTGGCCATGATTTACTGTTGCGGTGCGGCTGGGATTATCCTTGCATACAGAAAGGGCTGCCATTGTTTCACAGACCGTCAGTCCGATTCAAGATGAGCCAATTGCATGTGAACCCGCTCAAGGATACTTACAGCTTAGGTCAGGACGAGAGGCCGCCTCTACATTGACCGTTTCCTCCCCGCAAAATGTTGCACCGGTTCGTGCGTCCGGAGTTATGCCTGCATGCTTCAGAACGAGCGAGACTCGATCGAACCATCACAGCGTGTGGTAGCACAGTACAGTACATTGCGATATCCACAGCCACAGTTTCGAAATTCTTCATGGTTCTTCCATTCAAGTTATGAAAGCTGCAGAGCAACTTCTGGCAGCTCCACTTGGCAGTATGCCGGTCATTCTCCTCTTGAACCATAAATTACCAAGGGGCATCTTGCCAACCTATAATGAATCCTCTCGGATTCGGCCGCCTAGAATCTGAATTTCCGAGTCTGCGTCTTTCCGGTCCTAGTCGGCTGGGCCTGTTGATAAATACGCTTTAAAGGGATGGGTAGGTAGCACTGCCTTTGGTCGAAATTCCCATCATGCCTGTCTATTGTCTTTTCAACTAGTCCTTCCTTCTGCGACAGAGTCCGATTTTTGACTCTCCGTGTGCGTTGTCTTTCCTTAATCTTCTGGCGCAATCACATTCATTAGTCCACACGATCTAAAGTATAGATTCGAGAATCTCGAGATCAACCCTTCCTTGATAGACCGGCTGCAACATTAACCCCTCTGTTTCTCTTGTCTTCTTGCTCTCAAGCAGGACTATGGAAGATATATGAAACGAAAAAAAAAGGCAGCGGTGGCATTGAGAATAACATCCCCATTATTGGTTGTCACATACCATAGTCTCTTCCCAGCATACACCTGCAAACACACTCGCACGCCATGGCATCACCACTCCGCACCGCGCGATGGCTTCATGCACTGATGCTCATGAGCCACTTTAGCACGGCATTGACGGCAAGCACCGGGGCATGGCGAACCAGATCGGTGTATCAGACGATGACCGACCGGTTTGCTCGCACGGATGGGTCGACGACCGCTCCTTGCAACACGACCGCCGGCCTATACTGCGGTGGCACCTGGCGCGGCATGATCGACCACCTGGACTACATCGAGGGGATGGGCTTCGACGCAGTGATGATCTCCCCGATCATCAAGAACGTCGAGGGGCGCGTCGCCTACGGGGAAGCGTACCACGGCTACTGGGCGGAAGACCTGTATGCCTTGAACCCGCATTTCGGGACGGAGCAGGATCTCTTCGACCTGAGCCAGGCCCTCCACGCCCGCGGCATGTATCTGATGATGGACACGGTCATCAACAACATGGCCTATCTCACGAACGGCCACGACCCGGCCACCAGCATCGACTACTCGAAGCTGCAGCCCTTCAACGAGGCCCGCTACTACCACCCCTACTGCCAGATCACCGACTACAACGACTACCCGCTGGCGCAGCGGTGCTGGACGGGCGACGACATCGTCGCCCTGCCCGATCTGAAAACCGAAGACCCGGACGTCCAGCACATGCTCAACCGCTGGATTTCTGAGACCATGGCCAAGTACTCGATCGACGGGCTCCGTCTCGACGCCGCCAAACACATCACTCCGGCCTATCTCCGGGCCTTCCAGCAAGCGGCCAACAACTCGCTGGTGACCGGGGAGGTCTTCGACCGGTCCGTCGACACCATCTGCAGCTACCAGGCGGACAACGAGCTTAACAGCGTCCCCAACTACCCGATCTACTACGCCCTGCTAGACGCCTTCACCATGGGCGACACCACCGACCTCCCCAACCGCATCGAGGAGATGAAACACGCCTGCCCCAACGTAAGCACCCTGACGACCTTCTCCGAGAACCACGACGTCCCGCGCTTCGCAAGCCTCATCAACGATCTAAACGTAAGCCCTCTATCCCCAACCCCCCTCCATCACCCCCAAACTAACGCCACAAACCAACCCAAAGCTAGCCAAAAACATCCTAACATTCACCCTCCTCTACGACGGCATCCCCATGATCTACCAGGGCCAAGAACAGCACCTCACCGGCGCGCACGACCCCCTCAACCGCGAAGCCCTCTGGCTAACGGGGTACGCGAGCACGCCCGAGACCGCGCCGCTGTACACGCACATCGCGACGCTCAACGCGCTGCGCCGCCACGCCATCCGCATCGACCCGGCCTACGTCGACACCCCCACCTACCCGATCTACCGCGGGTCCAGCGAGATGGGGTTCCGGAAGGGCCGCGAGGACCGCCAGGTGATGATGGTGCTGTCGACGCAGGGCAGCGCCAGCGGCGCGTACAAGATCCGGCTGACGACGGGGTTCCAGCCGGACGTGGAGGTGGTGGAGGTGCTGAGCTGTGAGCGGTTGACGGTGAGCGAGGTCGGGGAGCTGTGGCTGGGGATGGATCGCGGGGAGCCGAGGGTGTTGTTTCCGGTGAAGTGGATGGAGGGGAGTGGGCTGTGTGGGTTTGGGGATGGGGAGGGGACTGGTGGAGAGGGGATGGGGGGAGAGGGGGGAGAAGGGTTGGGAGAAGGTGGTGGTGGTGGAGGTTCAGCGGGTGCGGGGAGGAATACGGGGATACCTTCGGGGGCTGTCTCTGCTCGTGTTGTTAGGGGTTGGGGCACTGGGATCGGGGTACTGGGTGGGTTGTGGATGGTGGTCCTAGGGATGTGAGCTGGATTAGGGTCTGTGTAGTTGTGGTTTTTGACATAGTTGCAGGTCAGATGCCTGCGCCGTAGTGAACAAGCTACTGAACAAGCGAACAACCGAGAAAAAAAGATACTACGAATGCTATGAACATGAACCTGACTGATATCGAGTGGAGATGTCTATTGTTTCCTCCTGGTATGCGGCTGATACTAAAGCTATGCATACATTTGATGCTGGACCCCCATATTCCTAGCACGTAGAAGCGACCATTGCTGTTTATCAGCATAGGCAGCATAGGGGGGATTGGAATGTGCCCCAGTGAAATGCCCCGTCTACAGGCAGTAAAGAAGGATCAGTGGGAAACATGAAAGGAATAAAATTACACCGGGCGCTAAAGCAGAACCGAAATATCAATCAACCTTGTTCCAACTTCTCAATGATCCGAACTCCACAAGGGTTCCGGTTGTTCATGTGACGAGTAGTCAACCGGTTCATTAAAGTGGCTCTCGATGGAGCCATAGGATCGGATGTTGTGTTCATAGAAGCCATAGCAGAGCATCTACTTCCGCTGCTGGCGCATGCCCAGAATCTGGACCATGCGGACGAAGATATTGATGAAATCCAGGGTCAAGCTGATGCTCTCGTTGACAACATCCTTGCGAACGAGACCGCGCTGAGAGAGGCGAGCGTGGTGAAGGATCTTCTGGACGTCATAGAGGGTGAAGCCACCGAAGACAGCCAGACCACCGTACAGCCAGATCTTCTCGGACCACATGAGAGTACGGGTGGCGGTGACGGGGAGAACCATAGGAGCGAGACCGGAGAGAGCAACGATGGCAACACCAGCGAGCAGAGGACCACCCAAATACAGGTACTTCTCCTGCTTGGCGGTGGCACCAACGAAAGCAATGGAACCCATCATTCCGACGGTGTAGAGACCGGCGCGGGCGAGCAGAGCGGGGCTCATGAACATTAAAGGGGACAGGAGAGCGGCTTGAGTGATGTTGAAAGCAGTCCAGAGACCATACTTCACGACGTAGCTAGTGGTGCTGTTAGCATTGCTGTTCGGCCTAGCTAGAACGGGGAAGCCTCGCTGAGTACTCACTTGTCAGGAGAAGTGTACAAAGTACCGTACATGGTTCCAATGCTAGCGACGAGACCAAGACCCATAACCAACCAAGGGTTGGCAGCCATCATGCGGTAGGAGAATCCGTTCATGTGCATAGCGCGAGCGGCAATGGCGATGATACCAACACCAAGTCCGGTGTGCATGAAAGTCTCGTTCAGGTAGCTGCGCTCATAGTGGGGCATACCGCCATCCTCGCGGGTCTCGCGGTTGAAGATCAGGTTCGTTGCGATGATGGTACCTCCAACGATGGCGGCACCGTAGCCCAATTTTTGCAAAAGTTCACCGCGGGTGTTGTAGGTTGGCTGCTGCATATACGTCCGGCGGAAAGCATTCTGGAAGGTCTGACGAGATTTGGCGAAGATGGAAGATGAGACGGGGCCGGTAGGCTTCGGCTGGGCAGGCTTGAATGGGGTGTTGTGGATGAAACGAGCGCTATTAGCAGGCTTGGAGATTTGGCAAAGCGCCGTCGGAACGGCGAACGGGCGCCGCAAGAAGAACGCCATGATTGTTGGGGTGGTGTATCGCTGGATGACGACGATGAGAAGGAAGAGGAGGAAAGCGCTTTAAATGCGAAGCGATGATATCAATCCGGGGTCCCGCTGGCTACGGCGGCCCGAACGTTCGAGAAGTGAAGTCACGTGTAGTGACTCAATAATTACTCAGCGCTGGCCGCGCTCGGCGATAATCTTGGTGGAGGAGGGGAATTAAGGGAATTAAGCCGGATATCTGCGATTCAATTCTACGTATTCAATACTTGTAAGTGACCTCGCACCTTCTAGCATGTGCCTCTGTTATATGTCTGACCACTTCTCGGTAGATCTATTCCGTAATCAATAGCCTCGCTTCGCGCCATGTCTTCCTCGTTCGTCGAAACCATAGAGCTTGCGCATCTGCCACCTTCGATGCCCGTGCATGTCGCACTTTATCGGGATGTCAAAAATGCTGCTTCTCTTCGACAACAGTTGATCTCAGGTAACGCTGACTTTGAGTATGCCTTCATTGATGCAAACATGGTATGAGATGATCATCAAAAACCTGGGTCAGTCAGTTACCATTGTTTCTGATGATGGTTCGCAGGTTCTCTCCAGAGCTCATGCTTTGTCCGCCGTCTTCCGAGCTGTAAACGACTCGATCAACGGACGCCTTAAGTCTCGCAATGTTCACTCAGAGATTGTTTTCTCATTCAGCCCAGCGAATAATGTGCGTCTTTGAGGTGGAACGCGACAAGCACCGCCAGCCTGGCTAACTCTCTCCAGATCGCCGAATCATTCCGCAAATTTGGTATTGCTGACTCCACCAAAGACCTACTAGTGATCAAGGTCTCGATGACACCGGACGTCACCCACGACTCAGTCGCAACCCATCTTTCTCAACATGTTGAAGGCTCGGCTGTGCCGTTTGACGACGAAACCCTGTCGAACATTGCCGATGTGACGAAAATCAAGAAGGCTTATAAACTCGGCGCACTGAAGACTCCTCCCCCAACTCAGGCAAATGGCACACAGAGCGATGGTATGAGACAGCTTGAACTCTCTGTCTTGGGAGCGATTGCGTTGCGCGGGGCCACTTGATCGGCACGTAAGGTCTGAGGTATTACCTTTCGTGCCAATTCCCATGATGGAACATCAACAGGCTTGTGAAAGCAGCCATCTGCTGCTTCACGCTATTCGACTTGCCTATTGCATTTTGGGTCTGTATTAAACAGCCCCAACCAAGCCTGGCTTCGTCCAAGGCTTGTCCCAAAAGATGCTTCCCCGGAATGAGTGGATCATTTGAAGCGCTATTGCTCTAGCATATAAGAGACAAGGGTTTCCAGGATCTGTGCACGGGATTTAGACAGATGGTGCTCGGAGTTGCAGTGCCATGTACTATAACTAGTTCCTGCAACGCAATGAACTAGAACAGATAGCATAGAGATACCCAGTGGCCAATACATTGCTAAAACGTTTTTAAAAGTGAAAAGTATAGTCACATAAGCTATACAGACTACATAGTAAGATGGTAGGACCGGGCGAACAGATCACATGCACGCGGTTGCCCAGTCCACCGATGTCGTCATCCCGAAACGGAAATCCTTCAACTTTGCCAAGACACATGGCGGAGGTCTCGATCCTCGCCGCATCTACAACTCTTATGAATATAATAAATACATCTTGATCGGCCTAGCAACTCATGCACTATCATCACAAGCAATGCTCAAAACCGCGTTATAGTATCGAGACTTGTGAATCATATCTCAAGCAAAGTTCTACAGACAATCGTCGCCTAGATGTTCCGGAGAGATCGGACTCGTCGAGACTCGCCACCATGACCGCCACCGCGGAGGTCATTGTACTGTTGTCCTCGCCAGAGCACAGCCCAGTGAATACACCTGCGCCACCCAAGTACGATGCCCAGCAGCTCTTCGGGCTGTCACCGATCGATACCTCCACTTCCCAGCCGCCGTCTCCATCGGACCTCTTTCAGGACCCTACGCTTTCCAAATTCTTCGAGGGCGGGAAACAGTCCAGCAAACGAGCTCGGAAAACCCCAAACGCCGCTTGCAAAACTACAGATGTCGAAGGGGCAGATGTGACAGGGGCCAAAGACGGTCCACCTGAGGATAAAGTGAAACAGAGAGGGAGGCCCAAGAAGAAACCAGAGGAACGCGTGGAAGAATCAAGCCATACGGGCGAGGGTCCGTCTAAGAAGAGCTTGTCGAAAAAGCCGACGCCTAGGGAAAGGAAACCGAAGGTGCCGAAGACGACGACGAAGCGCGCGACAGCTGCAAACAAGACCATTTCGGGGAGGGTTGCGAAGGCTGGTAGCTCGTCGCAGCCAATCGAGGGACAATCCGGCAAGAAACCCGATTGTCCCTCAACCCCGCAGCTTTCTTTGGATCAGAACTCTGCGAATGATACCCGCGACTGGGAGAAGGATGGCCTGCAATTGGAACAAGCGTTAAAGAGAAGACTGGATTGGACGCCCACGGGCGGCACTATAGAACAAACTAGCGGGTTGGATATCAAATTGGATCACAACAGCAATGAAATGAAAAGCTTTGGGACTATGCTATCTGAGTTTGGGTTTGGTGGTATCTCTGCTCCTCAAGCTATGAATCGGGTTCTAGAGGAGAACGGCCCTACCAAGAGGAGGCGCATTGAAGTATGTCCCATCTGCTTGATCTCGATGATTACTCACTTTCTTCTCGATAACTAACTTCCGCACAGCTGATTGACGCTAGTGTATATCCTGGGAACAAGCCAAAAACCAATGAGAGTAGCGAAAATCACTCCACTGAAGATGAAACCTCGAGTTCAAAAGCCCCAGCCGCGAAAAAGAAAGCCACTAAGCCAAAGAAGTTCTCGACACTTACAGCGAGGGTAACTGCTCAGTATCTCACCAATGCTACGGAGGCTATGGACAATTCAGAAGGCAGTGCTTCGGCCAGTATGCCATCAGCTCTCACGTCCAAGAAATCGACAACAAAGAAAGGGAAGAATGCTAGGGCGCAAGAACCAGAGCTTGTCATACTCTCACCTGAAGCCGCCGTCCGGTCTCTGGAGGATCAAGAGCTGGTCTTTGGCACTTGCAGTCAGCTAGAACGTGAGGACTCTCCTACTATGATAAGAGAATTGCAAACAGCAATTCGGGAATCGGAGCAAAGTCTAGCCTTGGAGACAAGCATCCGTGTGAACGATGGCGCAAATGAAAGCCTACCGTTGACAATCTCACGTTTCACAGCTTCAAGAAATCTGTGGTCTGTCGCAGCCCGCGATGTTGACGGGTCGGTCTTGCCGGTTGAGGTAGTCGACTTAGTAGACGGCTCCGATACACCGAAGCCTTGTTCTGCTGTCAACAACGGAGACAGTAAGGGAAAGAAGGATAGAGATGTATCTGCAACTTCCAACGAAGCAGTCGTGCCCGATGCACAGAAACCCAGAGAAGATCTGTCTACTTCTGCCCCTGAAACCTCAGACACTCTTGACAGACAAGCAGGTGTCGGCACATCACAACCTCGAGCCCGACAGCCTAAAATGCCACATTTTAGTGGCTTCACAGATGCTCAACTATCTATACGAGTTGCCTCTTATGGATTCAAGCCCATAAAAAGCCGCCCAAAAATGATCGAGATTCTCACCAAATGTTGGGAATCCAAGCATGGTACAGCTGCTCCATGCGTACCAGGTAACCTGGCCCCCCAACCCCCTACTTCATCATCATCGGAAACGGTGATTCCCAAGACCTCAGCCAAGGGCACTCGATCGCAAAAGAATACAACCACCAAGAAAATAGACGCAAAACCAAAGCCGAAGAAATCAGATGCAATCACCGAGTCAACGATAAAACCAACAGCTGCCAGGAGCATACCCCCCAAACCTTCACAAACACCCACCAAACCCAGCCACTCATCTCTCACGAATAGTGTCACTCCAACGATTTCTTTTGCAGACGTTGAAGAGATACAAGACTCCGAAGAAGACGAGAGCATTCCCTCCCCGAGCCGCTTACAAGAGAGATATCTCCTCCACCACGCCGCACCTCAACCAAGCCTACCCACCACCACTACCGCCATTCCACCCACTTCCAGCAAGACCAAACCAGCCAAACCCTCTCAAAAGACCACGGATAGCGCAACGACGCTGAGTCTCGAGGCTCCCAGCCTCCACAATCAGATTACCCAGGCCGTCTACGCACAGCCTCGACTCCGACCCACCAGCATCAACAGACAACCCAGCTGGCACGAGAAAATCCTTATGTATGATCCCATCATCCTCGAGGACTTCACAACCTGGCTGAACACGGAGGGTCTGGGCCTTGTTAATGAGGATCGTGAAGTTGGCGCGGCGCTGGTGAAGGAATGGTGCGAGGGGAGGGGCGTTTGTTGCTGTTATCGACCGAAGGGAAGAGACGGGTGAGGTGTGACTGTCTGCCTTTGGGGATTGTATTCTATTGAATTATGGCTGCGTATCATGTTCGCATCTTCGATCTCATACATTGATCTCCTATGTTTACTGGAAAGGGCGTTTGGAGATACAAATCTGGGGTGTTCATTGGGAAAGGGAAATACCCCTATATAGGTACTTGGCATAAGGTGTTTTGAATGTGAATTCTCCTTTCGAGGATGTATAGAACTCAGCTGAGCATCTGGTTACTCTACCAGTATATCTGCAACCGCTAGCCATGGCTGTTTTCACCACTAAACCGCACTCTAGTCAAATCCATATCATGGATCCCCCCTCCCCCACGGTTATGCATATCGCAGCCTCACGCAAGCCATTACTCCAATCTAGTACAGCCCAGTTTTGCTGCCTATGTACAAACGTACTGTCAATTGATAAGCTATATACCCTTCCTGGGGGATGTTGGATGTTTTCATGACGCATTGGGAAGAGGCACCATGATGCTCCTTCCCCCCCTCCCGGGTTGGAGTCTGTTCGATGGCATTGAAATCATCTAGGTACCTAGTGTACATACATGGATGGAGTTGCTGAAGCTGGCGGGATTGAGTGAGTCCCAAAACAAACCACAGCACAGGATAAGCTGATATCACATCCGCTGGCTCGACTTAGCAATACCTGATTTCCACTGACCTTGCACATTCAGATGATCAGTTGATAGTTCGGGCCGGCCAGGACCAAAACGATCCGGATGAGGAATATAGAAATATAGCGTTGGTTGGTTTGATGGATTGAGGGACTAAGAAGATATGGCAGGAAACGGGTGGGATACAGAATTGAAAAGAGAGAAAATGGAATGGAGGAATCTAAGGTACAAAGAACGGAAACTGGCACAAATTCCTACATGCATACAAATATCAACCGGCTCAACCTGGTATGATAGACCATGCTGCCATGTGCTTCTGTGTCCAGCATCAAACTCCTTTCATGCCTGCGTTGCCGTCATAACCTGTAATATCGACCGCGAAAATAAATAAGACCCCCAAATCCCACCCAAGTAAGGACATATATTTCGCCAGAAGAGCCGACCTAGAGTTCAAATATTACTTCACAAGCCCATGCGATGCAACCAAATTCCATCACGACTTCTTGAGTCGTGAACCTGAAAGACATATGGGGAGAACCAAACTCCATGACCCAAGCGAGAGTATAATATAGAGGGGGAAGGAAATGGAGGTTAGAGATATAGCCTCTTATATAGCGGTGAGGAAACGGGCCGCAAGTGTGTCACACAGTCAATGCGGATGGCGTATCTTAGACACCAAATGCTCCGATTCTGGAATCTAAGAACCCTGACTGCTTCAACGTCGACAATTGTCTGGAAAGCCATTATCTTGTGGCGATGGACTTCCCACGCCGCGGCTTGAAGCTGCCGACGCGGCAACGGCTCACCGGAAAACTTTCCCGTTTACAGCGACGGTTTCAAAGCTGATTCGCCTTGCGTATTTGGAAGATCCTCCAGCTTCGAGCCATGGCGTGAGATTCTTGCATTGGCTGACATCGAAGGACTCTAATTTATCGCAGCCCTCTGCCACAGCCTCAACGCCAGCACCGGTGACTCGGACACAGCCACGAACTGACAGACGCTTGAGATGCAGGAGATGGAGTCCGATACTGCGCAACGAAGGGTCGGAGATAGCAGAGCCGCAAAATGACATGTTGAGGTAGGTCAGGTTGGAGCATTGTAGGGCGAGTACTTCTGTCGCAGTATCTGAAAGGGCACAGCAGAAAGACTTTGCTGGTCAGTAAGCATCTCATGCGAGGAGGGAAGGAATGCTCTTGTGCTTACCAAATCCAGTTCCTGAAGTTGTTTGGCGGCATTCGTCAGATAGACAATAGCATTGTCGGTCAAATATGTACAGTCTGCTAGACATAGCCTCCTCAGATTGGTAAATTGCGCGTTTCCCCAGTACTGAAACCCTTGATCGGTGATTGTCGTGCAGCGGGTGAGGTCCATTTCCTCGATTCTAGATGCAGCATGCGACGCAATATGATGCATCGAGCGATCGGTAACATGTTTGCAGTAGGATAAGGTCAACTTCTTGAGCTCGGGGCAGCCATACACAGTCCCGGCTGCAGTTTGCATGGTGGGTTTTAAGGATGCTTTGCCGGACTTCGCAGACTCCTCGCTGGGCTTATGTTGACCGGGTACAACCCAGCCTACAATCCGCGCCAATAGTGTGTCGCCCACCTTTCGACAGTTGCTAAGATCAACCTCTTGCAAGCCTTTTGCTTTACTTGCCATGTCAAGAATGGCCGATCCCGTTACGTCCCACACACTCTTCATCTTCCAGGCAGTAACGTTGGAACCACATACAGCAACCAGCTTGCTGAACCCCTCATCCGTGATATGGAAGCAATTGCTAATGTTGACGTAGCGAGGTCTGCTGCCGACAAACGGGCAAATGATTTTCGCCAGGACGTCATCCGTGATGCACCGATTATACACGCTCAAGTCGAGATTATGGAACAGTTCAGCGGATGTGCTCAGGAGCTCAGACCAGTGCATCGAGACAGCTCGGAGGCGTAGAAGGTCATGAAGCTCCACATACCGGAAGATCTTTGTGAGGATGTTATCCGGAAGCACACCATGGTTATCCTGGCGGGGTACACGGGTGCTTTCCTGGGACGTGGAAAGTCTAGAGGATCCAGGTAACGTGAGAAAGGATGAACTCGTGGACCGTGGCTCAGATGATGGAGTTGATGGCCGCTGTTGCTCTCCGGAGGCTTCCTCCGGGGTCATCGGGGCAACAGACCCGCGTCGACTTCGAAGGCGAACTTTATCCAAGCCGATGTTAAGAAAAGGGTCTGGATCTGATGGGCGTAAGAGAGCCTGCTCATCTACACCATTGGGTCTTGGCGTGCTATCCAACTCTGTCTCTGTCAGTGTTAGAAGCGGCATAGACTGCCTCCGAGAAGCCCTTAATTTGAAGTTATCATCGACCTCCATATGATTGCCGTAAGGCTCAGCGCCCGCATCATCTGACATCACAACATCGCCATCAGAGGCTGACTGGAGCCGCTCTTTAGCGGTTTGCTCGACTTGCTGACGGACCTTTTGGGGACATCTCTCCCAGAACTCGGCCAACACCTCACCGCTGATCATCAAACATTCTACCGCACTAATAGACCGCACAGTAGCGGTCCTTCGAGGTGCTAGCGACAGGCTTACGACCTCTCCAAAATACTGGCCTTGTTTCAGCCGTGCTTTTACCTCGAAGCCCGGGTGTTCGATAGTTTTCGGTAGGGACTGCGTTTGCTGTGCTTCTGCCCTCTCCGATAGGACCTCCACTTCGCCACGAACAATGAAGTATATCTCACGTCCCTGTGAATCCTGTTTGATAATGTCGGTGAAAGGAGGGTAGGATCGGGGTTGCGCATTGAGTCCCAGGAAGTGAAGGATATCCGGCGGCAAGCCGGCAAATAGCGGTAATTCCTTGAGAAGAAGACGGACATTGACCAGTCCATTCGCCAGCGCACTGGATGATCCGTCAGCCAATCCAGGGCTGGGGGATTTCCGCTTCTTGTTGACGGACGCCAATGACCTGCCATCCTGCTCGCTGAGACTGAGGTCTCCAGAAAACGTGTCTCTCACTCTTTTCGAGCCTCTTCTGGCCGGACTTCCGGGCTCGACCACTGGCACAGATGTTTCCTTCTTCTTTTTCTCCAAGATCATCAATCTCTCCTGTGCTTCATCCCTAATGGCCCGCTCTACATCAGGAAAGCGGGGGAGGATTTGTCTGAAATCCTCCTTGGTCAGTACGACCAGTAAGCACCTGGTGCGGGCGACGATGGTCGCCGTCCGCGGGCGATCCATCAACACGCCAATCTCACCAAAGAATGCACCTGCTTCGAGGTCGGCATACACACTCTCGCCATCGCGGGAAGTCACCGAGACCGCACCGCGGACCAACCAGTAGATAGCCTTGGCTTCGTCGCCTTCCGTCAGGATGTAGTCATTGGCTTGCTGGAGCTGGGGGCGGAGATGCTGGCCGACATCGATCAGGAACGATTCTGGGGTGGATTGAAAGAGAGGAAAGGAGCGCAATCGGTCGATGAGGTCTAGCGGCAAAGCTCGGATGTTCGACGAGGTCAATGGCGACGGACGTACAGGACGATTGGGGTTTATCACCGAGTCGAACGAATGTAGCAGGGATGCGGTTTCGGAGATAGGAGTGACGGCTTTAGTCGAACCTCCGCTGGCCCTTCCATGGCGGCGCATTGTGAAACGGTTGAGGGGGAGGTTCCAGGAAGCTTGGGAAAGATACAAAGGGGTTTTAGAAAGAAGATTTGATGGAGGAGCATATAGTTTAGTTCGGCCCCAAAGCGATCAATGAACCGATGACGTCGACGAAAAAGGGAATCACGGGGGGAGCTTTTTTTTTTCAGAGAGACATCGTTCGGGAACCAAGGTGCGGGGGAGGAGGACAAAAGATTCGGGACAGGACAATCGGCTTCGAGCCGTTCAGAGTTGACAGTGGGAAGAAGAGCGACAATTAATTCAGGTTGCAATAAGAGCAGGTCTGCAGAAGTGAAGCAAAAATGGAGTGATGGGCTAAAGTGGTAAAAAATAGTCCTGAAGAAGGACTACAGAGCATAATGGATGGATGGAGGGGAGTGGAGGGGACGGAAGAGGGGAGAAGAGGGGAGTTGAAAGGGTGGTTGAAGAAGCTGGGTTAGTTAATAGGAATAAGAATAATAACTAATAATTAGTAGGTAGTTTTAGTAGTTTAGTCTACTTAAGTTGTGAGTCGGCGGAGCAGAAGGAGCAGAAGGAGCAGCAAGAGTAGCAACAGCTTCCCACAGTAGCTACTAGTTAAGCCTAGGACTCTAAGACTAGAACTGACTCTAGGGAGACTAGACACTGCAGTTAGTCTAGCAGCAGTAGCAGTTGCAGCAGAACAGCAGCAGAGCAGCAGCAGCTTAGAGAGGCTAGTCCAACAAGCAGCAACATGAAAGCGGGGATCACCAACGTCAAATTCTTTGGTTGAGGCTCCACCGCCGCCGCAAATGGTCAGTGAGTCTGGGAGTGAGTCTGGGACCCGACGGAGAGTCTGGGACTCTAGGTCTCTTTCGTTCTGTTCTTTCTTTCAGGTTTCTCTCCGCCACTTAAGGTTCCACACTGTCGGTACAATCCCCTATCCAACCAATATCCCCTCCCCTCCCTCCCCCCAACGGAGTATGTTCAATCAAGCAAGCCATCCACCATCTTGTCGACTCCAAGCAATTTTGCCTAGAATAAGCAGGTGCGGAGTTGTGCTCATGTGGTGAAACATGTGGCCTATCTTTCTGGAACAATCGGGACTTCTTCTTATCCACTGCCGCTGCTGGCGGCAGCATAACACAATCAATCAATCATAGTTACCGGCAAGCAATCATTGATGAAGCGGAGACCATTACCCGTTTCTCTCGCCACTTCTTTTCTGTTCTCTTCTCTATCTTTGGTGTCTTATCAAGTTGGCACTTATTATAATCTCTCACAATCGAGTAGATCCGACAATTCTTTCGAATTCAGGCTGCTGCAAGTAGATCTCAAGTCGTCTCGTTATCAACGGCCACCTGCATGTAGCGATCAACCAGAGCACGACCTCTTACCCGTAGAAGCAAAGCAACACCACTTGTTTGGCTTGTTTGTTTGCCGCTTTTGTCACGGCTTGGGGACCGCTTTTGCAGGCAGCTCATCCTGATGCCATTTGGTGTATGAGCGTGAGCAGTAAGCATCAGAGCGCGGTTATTCAAAAGTTACCAGAGGCTGCATGAAGTTCACAGAGCGTAGTTTGTTTGTTGCGGGGCTGCTGGATCATTGGATTGTCACGATTCACCAATGTCCATCCCCACGCATTGTACTGAGTAAGTTACCCCTCGTAGCCAAGTCACCTGCATTGCTGAAATAACATGCCACATGACAACCTTATCCCCTGCAGCGGGAATTATGCGTCACCCTACTCCGTAGGCTGAGCAATTTCTGGTACTCACTAAGCTCTGATTCAACCCAGCGTTGATGCAGACTCACTTGGATTCAGTTCACACAAAATACGTGTATGTTCACGTGTCAGCAATGGAGCATACTGTAGCATTTAATTAAGATCTCCCTTGCTGACGCGACTGAATGGGTCAGATGATGCCGCATGCACATTGGTTCAGACACCAGTCCTAGAAAATAGTACGCAGAGGACTGGCCCTTCCTGCTTGCTGCGATGGAAAACAACATCAAGTTGCAAGGCTCAAGTATGCTTTAACTTAACTTCGAGCTGTCTATTCAGGTTTCTAATACAGAGCTGGGGGAGTGAATTTCACACGACGAATTGGCACTTTCCCTCGTAGATAGAGAATCAATGGACCAACAGGGTCATGAAGATACATAAAAACTATATGACAAGTGAAGCCGAGTGTTTAGCACTGAGTTTCAGCTATTACCGGTATCAATGCACATGGGGGCTTGCCGCCCACTCTCTCGAGGCGTGAGACCACTTCGCCCTCGTCAATGTATAATAATGGCAAGCCACGATACCAGAGACAGGAAGACCTAAGCAATTGCGATAGCATCTGTGTCATCAATGGCAGCTCCGTCAAGGAACATCATTGATGTGCAGAGTGCGCGCTTTTTGGAGAGTAGATCCAAAAGAGATTCACTGGTGCTTGTTTCCAGACAAATGCTCAATTTCACCATGCATAGTAAGGAGTGGTCGAGAATAAGTATCTGGAGACTCCATCTCCGTGCCGTAGGCTGGAAGTCTGGACGTCTGACATGATGCGGCAAATCATGGATGTATACTCCCAGATTTGACAATCCACCGCTTCTTCGTTATTCGTATTCGTAGGGTCGCGCCGTGGCACCTACCGGAGCGGGAAGTGTCCTTGCTGTGATGTGCAAGGCAGTAGGTTTGAATATGTATCCAAGGAGTCTGGGCCTGTGGCTCTGATGTAGAGCTTTCATATCGGAAAAAAGGGCTGTGTGATCTTCAATATCATCACTCGGCCTTCGATTGAGGTTTGCCCATGATAAATCTGACATAGGCGGGCGGGTTGCCCTTCAAGTATGCAAGGCCGTCTTGAAGCAGTCCGTATGTCAGGCCTAATTTCAGACCAAGTTTGGCGGTACGGGCTGCAGTGAAGACATCATGACGGGCTAGACAGATAGGGATAGATTAGCTGGCAATCTTAAGAGCGCCGAGGAGCTTCAGTAACGGACCTAAGAGGCTGTAGATGCCTGAGAATGACAAGCCTGCTACAACCGTCGACAGAAAATCCCGTTGGCCGTGTCGGGCATTGTCCACGATATCCTCAAAGACGGTGAAGACCATGGCACTACCGCCTAATCTGGATCCCATTCTGAATCCCTCTCGCATGCCTGCGACGGTAGCAACATATCTCCGAGTCTTATGGTATTGCCACCACGCCATTGAGGTCAAAGGCTGTCGATGAGCGTTCTCCGCGCGGAAACGATAGGCCGACGTGGTGTTGCCTTTGGAGAATCCGAGACACAAGCCTACGCCAAAGGCAGTAGCACCTGTAGCCATCATGCGCCTTCCAATACTTACTCCTAGTCGTTGATATGGATCAACACTAAGGAGCTCCTCCTTCATGGTAGCGTAGGACAAAGACTCGGGCGCGTCTGATGGTTGCTGGACATCCATGCTGAATGGTAGATAAAAGTGACCCGTTGGATTCAAACTGATTGCGAACCAAGTCAACGATAGATAGGGCCTGGCAAATGCTGTCGGTTCGGTGTGCAATTGGCTGTGAGAGAGTGTCACTTTCTCTGAACGTGAGTTTTGACGTGCGGTGGACGTGCCGGACTCGACTTTTGGCGGCTCGCCGAGCTCCGAACTCCAAAGGCTCCGCGGTCCCGCCAAAGCTCAGCCATCAGCTTCACAAGCACTAAATCGCACACCATGGTAGGTACCGCCTCGCGCTGATCATCAAACAAAGTCAAACTAAACTGATCAATTTATTTACAGCCTCAGCCCGATCCTCTCAGCTGGACTTTGTTGTTCAAAAAGCACAGAACGACCGTGCTTCTGATGCTTCCTGCATCCGAAACGGTCGCCGCAACCAAAAATGCATTGCTTCGGGCCCTTCAAGCTCGGGGCCTGAGAGATATAAATGGAGATGTCGTTCCAGTGGACGCTTCCGAAATTGAGCTTGGTATTCCGGTAGACAAGAATGACTTGGAAAAAGGCTGGACGAAGCTTGAGGTTGACGTCGCCGACTTCGATGTTGCCGCCGCACCCAAACGAGGAGCCGGGAAGAAGGCAGCCGGTTCGCTCACCTTACTAGCTGCCGATATCAAGAATGGACAATCCATCGCATTCAGGTTCCGGAAGCCTACGACCGACGATTCTGAGAAGAACGATGAGTTGGCTGAGCTAGATCCGGAAGATCCAGGATGGGATGTTGTCCTCCCTAGCTTCGAAGACGAAGAAGATGATGTCCAGAACTGAGTGCTACCTTCAGCCGAAAATAATGAAATGAATGACATCAAACCCGTCTGTTGGCTGCAACTGAGATCCAGTATACCACACAGGTTGACGGAGGTTGCTACCCGGACAAGTGAGCCATGACCAGAATAAAATGTCGACAGTCTCATGATATTAGCTCTTATGCAATCTCTGGTCAACAGCAGTACGCTTGCGTTTGCATCTTCTCTCTGTAAGAGCGCGATACGATGAGCTATCTACACCCTTGAGTTACCCTGGCGCATGGCTCATATCGGTCTATAGCAGGCGGCTTTAATAAGCTTCCCTGAATATCACTTTAATAAGATCCTTAGTGTACAACCACATGCTTCTTTTCTAACTCATTCCCTGATTGTAGTACGCGTCACTTCATCCCATGTTGGTGAGGACTTTTCCACATATTGGCAAATTCTTCCTACGACCTTGGGACTATACACCTGCCCGTCAGATGGCCCCTACATTTTGGCTGATGGGGCTATAAGATTCAAGACCTCGCTTTGGTCTGGAACTGCTATCAGATTATAGCGCAGATCCATAGTAAACTGTAGACGAGGAGTCCGACATAATAATCTCAACTGATCATGTAGATATCCGTCTCTAGCCGTTTGCATTGAAGGTGGAGAAGATGGATCGAAGGTGCGTGGTGATAGTCACAAGCTGGACGTGCTCTTTCAATGGCTGTCGGCCGGGATATGTGAGGCGGTGTGAAAGCACCGCAGGGGCACGATAAGCCTACTTTATCCACACGTCGCCCGGTTGCTAGGAGCAACAAGGCGGTGGAAAACACGTCAATGTCAACAGATTGGCTGAAGGTCGAACTAGTGCCAGCGTTGCTCAACAGGGGAGACTTTCTGGAGCCGTCTTGATTAATAGGTCCACAATCAACATTCCTCACTTCCACGTTCTGTGCACCTAATTTTTCCATCTCTTCGTTGTTCTTTCTTCGTCTGCCTTGTTGACGGTACAGGGCGTCGCTCCCCTGGATAGCCGACCTCCGCGTTGAATTACCTAGAGGGACGTGACGCCTCTGCGGTGATAGTTGATTGCACTATTACAATATGACCGACGCTTCTTCCATCACTGTCGCGGTCCGGGTAAGGCCGTTCACAATTAGAGAAGCAGCACAGCTCTCAAAATGTGAAGACGGCCCATTGTTCCTTGGTGACGGGTCACTGGCGGCAGCGCCGACACCCAAGCTCAACCAGAAGGGTCTCCGATCTATCATCAAGGTCATTGACGATCGATGCCTGTGAGTAGCACAGCATGCGTGGCCAGTGTGCATGGCTTGACTGATCTCTGTTCTACTAGTGTTTTCGATCCCCCGGAAGACAACCCTGTCCAAAAGTTTTCGAAAAGCGTCGTACCAAACGGAAAACGCGTCAAGGACCAGACCTTCGCTTTCGATCGAATTTTTGACCAGAATGCCTCTCAGGGCGAGGTATATGAATCAACAACGCGGGGCCTTCTCGACAGCGTACTAGATGGGTACAATGCTACTGTGTTTGCTTATGGTGCTACGGGCTGTGGAAAGACTCATACAATCACTGGAACCGCCCAGCAACCGGGTATCATCTTCATGACGATGCAGGAGCTCTTTGAGCGTATCGATGAACGATCAGACGAAAAAGCAACCGAGATCTCGCTCTCCTATCTCGAAATCTACAACGAGACAATTCGTGATTTGCTGGTGCCTGGAGGTAGTAAAGGAGGTCTGATGCTTCGGGAGGATTCCAACCATTCTGTTTCGGTGGCTGGCTTGTCGAGCCATCATCCGCAAAATGTCCAGCAAGTGATGGATATGATCATGAGGGGCAACGAATGCCGCACCATGTCGCCTACGGAGGCCAACGCTACCTCTTCGCGCTCGCATGCGGTCCTTCAGATCAATATTGCACAAAAGGATCGGAATGCAGATGTGAACGAGCCCCATACAATGGCCACATTGAGCATCATTGATCTTGCAGGAAGCGAGCGTGCCAGTGCTACAAAGAACAGAGGAGAACGACTCTTCGAAGGTGCAAATATCAACAAATCCCTTCTTGCCCTCGGAAGCTGCATCAACGCGCTTTGCGATCCCCGAAAGCGAAACCATATCCCTTATCGAAACTCGAAACTTACCCGGCTTTTGAAATTTGCGCTGGGCGGCAATTGCAAGACGGTTATGATCGTCTGCGTTAGCCCATCAAGCCAACATTTCGATGAGACCCAGAATACGTTACGCTATGCGAATAGAGCGAAGAACATCCAAACGAAAGTTACGCGAAATGTCTTCAATGTTAACCGCCACGTCAAGGACTTCCTGGTGAAGATCGATGAACAGATGGCGTTGATTAATGAATTGAAGGCCCAGCAAAAGAACTATGAGAAGGTTGCGTTCGGCAAATTCAGGAAGCAAACCGAGAAGAAGGACGCTGTCATGCGAGAAGGAATCGCTCGTATCCGCAGCGCTTACGAACACTCACTGCCAGAAAGGCAGGAAAGGACTAGCAACATGATCAAATTGAGACATATCAGCCGCCGGATCGGACTACTCTCATCTTGGATCGCCGCATTCGATCACGTTTGTGCATCCTCCGAGTCTGAACAACCACTATCCAATCTCAGAGCCATTCGCAAAACAGCACAAGGAATCCTTCTCGAATTGGAGAGTAGCAGGCAACACTATCATCAACGGTTGGCAAAGTCCACGTGGGACCGCAGCTTGGTTAGTGCTGTCGAGCATGCTATTCGTCAGCTCCAAGAATTCAATTTCAATGACAGCAGCGACATCGACAATATCCATCGCGAAGCGGAATTATTGCGAGCAAATACGGAGCGCGAGGCTCTCTCCGCGGTTGCTGAACAAGATAAAGCTGGGGACGCAGCCGCCGTGCAAACGCTGCTTCAGGCTCAATTCGAAACGATCTCTGAGATTGAGAATATCATGGAGATGAGTGAAGAAGAGGCTGTCGAAACAGGCAGAAAGATTCTTGCCAGAATGCTTGGTTCCTGCTCTACTGTGACATCTAGCCTGGTCAAGCCTGATGGTAGTGTTCCGTCTCTCTTACCAGCCAGTCCCATTAAGACTATGAGCTCTCCCAAGCAAAAGAAGAGGGTTAGTTTAGCCGCTGCACCGCCCATCGGTCGACTCTCATATACACCTGTGGTCTTGACCCCAGCAGCACCGCCTTCTCCTACCAAAGGTTCTCCTAGACGCCGCAAGCTGAACGTGGGAAGGAAGAGCGTCAGCTTTTCGCCCAAGAAAGCCCAGCCAAAGCCGATCATCAAGAGAAGTGTGCGGTGGAGGGATGACGAAGAAGATGGTGCATTGACGGAAGTCCAGAAGACCCCTCAAAAGCCGGGTTTAGCACCAGTACCAGAAGCCAGCCCTGGCGAACCCCCATTGCCTCGGGCATCTCCTATCCCGCGCGGAATTCCAGTGCCCACCCGCAACTTCAGTCCGTCAAGCGCCTCGTCCCCAATCTCAGCTGTACCAGAACCGACGTTGAATATCCAGAAGAACAACAGCCGCTTCAAAACTGGGTTCCTGTCGAAAAAGCCCGGTAGTTCGCCGATGGGACCACCTCCCACGTCCACACTTCCCCTGTCCGACAACGAAGCCTCGCCCCTCCGAGACATTGAGAACAGCAGCTTTTTGAACCGTTCAGTCGAGCGCCCCTCAAGAATTGCCGTTCGCACACCGAGTGGAAGCTACTCCGGCAGCCCTGCATCAGACACTAAGAGTGCAACAAGCTGGAAGGCAAGCAAAGATGACGCTATTAAGATAACGTCTGCAATGAGGCGCATCTCCGGAGGCTCGTTCGGAATCGGACCCTCGGCTAACGCACTCCGCGTTCACCGTCGCCGAAGCCCAACAGCTGTAACCTACGGCAGTTCTCCCACGGAGAATACCATGTTTACAGCTTCGCAGGCACGACGCATGGTTAAGAGCGAGAAAGAGGAGACCAAACCTCGTGTCTTGAGTCCTCGTGCTCTGCCGATCATGAAGAACACACAACGCCGTAGCACATTGGGTGGAGACATTCGCCCGCGGGATATCAGCCTTACCAGTCGTGATGCCATAAGGCTCAGCATGGTGGCAGCCCCTTCCTTGAAGAGACCTCCTGAACATCTCTACCCCAGCAATGGCTTTGGTATGAGGTAGATGAATTGCATATGAAATTGTTTGGTGCCATTGCATTGGTGATTTGGGTTGCTGGTACGGTGTTTGGGAATAGATACCATTTGCTTTCTTCCATCCTTGAAATTAAGACCGCGCAATCCGAGATTCGGTACAAACCTTATACTATACTTCTTCTCAGCTTGAAGGGGCTTGAGTTCCATCCAGGGCTTGGACAGACATCGTCGGCCATCTTCTTCCTTCATTGTTGATGGTTACATGCTTTTGTTTTCTTTTCCCGTGAGTGGCATATTGCTCGGGATATGTACAATAACAGCTTGCTGCAAGGTTTTCGTGGCCAATGCGCGTCTACAGGAGGCCATCTATCCAGCCCACTGCTGAAAAAGATGATAATAATACCTTCATCAAGAGCAAAATTTGTACTATAGACAGGTGAGAGATGATTTAATGGTACCCATGTGGCCACCAATCTTATGTCATGCGCGGAATGACGCCACCAGAATTGGAGTATGACAAATTCACAGTGGCGGGCGAGTTCCCGAGACCCCAAAGCGCGAGAGAGATGAGGTACTCAGCTGGACTTTGCATTGTACAATTAAAACAACCCAAACTCTTATTCCATTGCAACTGTGTTCAAATTCTCTTCGCTACCTGCCTGACCTCGCTAATTGACTAAAAAAGAAAACCGATCTCGGATCTGGAGAAGGGATTTGTCAGGTGCCCCTCTCCGACGGAAACCAAAACCTCAGGTGGAGCAAGAAGCGCAATCGCATAAATAATTATTGATGGCCTTTGCGGCGCCCGCTTTTGGCTCGACTTTTTTCTCTCGAATTGCCCGTCAATTCTCGACCAGCTCACCTTTCCTGGCCTTAACCACCCCGTCCACCTCGCGCAACATGTCGACCAACACGCAGACCGCCACGGTAGCCGCCGGATGTTTCTGGGGTGTGGAGCACCTCTTCCGCAAGCACTTTGGCAATGGAAAAGGTGTCTTGGAAGCCAAGGTCGGCTACTCCGGTGGACACAGCGCGAACCCTTCTTATCGTGCTGTGTGCACGGGGGAGACTGGTCGTAAGTGCATTCGCGAGCTGAGCGGCTATTTGAGTCGCACGGAAACTGACGTTTTGACCTCTCGTGTGGTTACTTTGCAGACGCCGAGGCATTGCAGATGACGTTCGATCCCTCGATTGTCAGCTA